CGATGGCGGAAAGATAGGCTGCGGGGTCTTCCTTCCATTTCTTCTGGAGGTCCACTCCATTCAATCCAATCGTTGGCCATCTTGGCACCCTGCCGGAGGTGTCAGTCATGCGCCGGACAAAAGTGTTCCCCAACTCACATCGACATGTCGAAACCCGTGGCGCAGATGATAACGTCGAACTCCCGCTCCGTGCCATCGGCGGATTTGATCCCCTTGGCCGTGAAAGAGTCTAATTCTCCCCAAGCAATTTCGACGTTGTCAGCGCAGAGTGCTTCAAGGTATCCGGTTCCAGGTGTAGGTCTTCGGCATCCCACAGGATAGGTAGGTAGCAGAAGCTCGGCCAGCTCGGGCTTCTTGGCGAGTCTTCTCTTCATATCCTTGGTTGTAAAGTCCAAGGCGTCTGCTTGAGCTTTGGTGCCATGGATGAAGAAGGGGAAGCCATCGTTCAACTCCTTCTCGACGGCCTTACGATACTTGAGGTATTCGTCAGGGTTCTTGGCCCAGAACGCTTTCTGCTCCTCCGTAAATGGTTCTCCATTTGCCGGAACGAAACTAGAGCCCAAGCTCGCCGTGATCCAGGTCGGATTGCGCATGAAGACGGTCAGCTCTGATACCTCCTTTTGGATGGCGGCGGTAATCTGAATACCACTGCTGCCGTTCCCGATCAGCCCGACCTTCTTTCCCTTGAGGTCGGTCTTCGGATTGTAATCAGCACTGTGAAGGAGTTGGCCTTGGAAGAGTTCACGGCCTGGGGTTGTAGGCCAACGCCAGTGATTGAAATATCCGGAAGCATTGATGAATATATCGCACTCCTCGATTATGTCCTCGCCAACTTCACCATCTGTGATTCCAGGACTCGAAACAACGGTTCTTCTTCCATCTGTCTGCTTGCTGTGGACGAGCCATTGCTGTTTCTCGTCGTTCCACTCGGCACCCACGACCTTCCGTCCGGTCGTGATATACTGGTTAAGTTGATACTTCTCTGCCACTTCTTCAAAGTACTTTAGAATCTCCGGCGCCGTGACATAGTACTCCGACCATCTGGGATTCGGTGCCCAGGTGAACAGGTAAGCGTGAGCTGGTATATCGCAAGCACATCCCGGATATTGATTCTCGAACCATGTCCCGCCGAGACCTTGGTTCTTCTCAAGAATGTGGAGATCAATGTTCTTGAGCACACCAGTTTGGACTTCATGTGCCAATGACAAGGCGCTCGCGCCAGCTCCGGCGACAATCACTTTCATTCGACGGGGCCACAGGAAGGGCATCTTCGACAACTCGTACGCGAGGGGGTATTTTTTGTATGCCTTGGTGGCTTCGATGGGTGCAGGTTCCCGATGAGCATTGTTGATATCGGCCTCCGTCACTCCATTGAGGGCGCCATTTGTTACGGTGTGGGCCACACCGTCTATCGCATCTTCTGGCGCTCTATCTGTTACTCCGTTGATTGCCATCGTAAATGGTTCTTTTGCAGACTTGGCAGGGCAAGGGGGATTGTGTTGTTATGCCTGGGACCAAGATGCGAAAATCCACCTTCGACAAGCTGTGAGATTCGTCTGCTGCTCTTTATGAAGTGATGGTTTTCATCGGTTGTTCAAGTCCTACTGCCTCGTGTCCACAGGACGCCTAGTGGACAGCTATGTAGAATCACTGTTCATCTCTTGAATACCGGGGATTGAAGTACCGGGGAGGCCTAAGGCGGAGGTGCCTTTTTCCGGGTTGGAGACTCCATATCTGATCCCATGGGTTAAGAGCTCCGTGCGAAAGATAGAGCTGCTCCCGCGAATATCCAGGCCGCTCGAAATGAGCGGCACGAGAAGGGAGGCGAGCGAATGAGTCTGGATAAGCTCGGCAAGGATGGGGCGGTACCGTGCCATGTAGTTGATCGCAGTACAGTGACGAAGGATGTTGTATGGGCAGTGGAGAAGGACACCAGCACCCATGCCGGGCCAGGAGAGGGTTTCAGCTCTATACCGAGGAGAGAGACTCCCCCAGAAAATGTCGGAAGTGTGGCCAGACGCGGGCCGAGAGACGGAAAAAGGCGATATCAAATTCCGCGACGCCGCCTCCTTTCCATTCACACTCCTGTGCAAGCTCGTTCCCCAGACGGCGCGAGGAGAAGTCGACCTCCTTTCTGGGGCTTACCCCAGATTGCTCTATCCTCAGAGAGGCTGGGCATCTGGGGTTGGCCTGATACGATGCCTTAGAGGGGGGGCGGTGAATATAAAGGCGAGAGGTCTCGACCTGCCTTCGATCTCTGCTCAACCTTGCCGTCTCAATCTCTCAGACCCCCCTTCCACTCCTGCACTTGTTAGATATTGTCCCGACCAAGGAGGTTGACTGGAGTTTGTGAACACCATGACTATGCTCAACACCGATGCGGCGGTCTTCGAGCGCCGCCGTCATTTCAAGTTCTACACCGTCCTCATCATCCTCTTCGTATCACTGGGCACGTGTTCCTATGGCACTTCAGCCTCCATCATCAGTACCACGCTGGGACAGCCTTCCTTCTTTGTGGCCATGGGTCTCAATGACTCCAACATGGCCAGCTTGACTGGTGCCATGAACAGTCTCTACTACGCCGGAGGCGTCTTCGGCGCCATCTGCCATGGCTTGATAGCTGACAGATATGGACGCAAGTGGGATATCTTTGTCGGTTCAACTTTTGTTCTCGTCTCTCAAGCATTGATCACTGGATCTGTGAACCCCGCTATGTTCATCGTCTTTCGGTTCTTCGCCGGCTGGGGGTAAGTTCCTGTTCTGGTTTCGTCAATGAACACAGTTCTGACTGGCAACCAGTGGATTTCAATTGGTGGCCGCCGTCCCAATGTGGATTGCAGAAATGTACGTACACCAGATTCCCAGCCGCTTCTATCTCAGAGCTGACTGGATATGCGTAGCGTTCCACCGGCACATCGTGGCATGCTTAGCGACATAGCTCCCATCATGATCAACGTCGGGTGAGTCTGGCCAGTGCATGGTGGCCGACCAAACCATTTGCTTCGCTCTGACGTCTTGTATGACAGCTACACGCTCACTGGATATGTTGGGGTCGGCTTCTACTTTTTTGATTCGAAAGATGCCTGGAGGGGCCCAATGGCTCTGACAATGATTCCCCCATTGATCCTCTGTTGTGGGATCTATTGGATTCCAGAATCCCCGAGGTATCTTCTTCTCAAAGACAGATACGAAGAGGCATGGACAATCATTGCTCGGTTACATTCGGATCCTAGGGACCCTCACAATGAGTTTGCGAAACGCGAGTACTATCAAATGCAACGACAGATCAAGTTCGACGCTTCCCTGAGCACAGGGTACAAAGAGATCTTCACCAGGCCCTCTTACCGGAAGCGAGCTTTCATCTCGATCATCTTGATGGTCTGCGTCATGAGCTCGGGTGTTCTAACCATACAAAGTACTGCCTTACCACCTTCCCCCCTTTCCTCCCTTTTTACGCATGTGCTAAACTTTGCAGACTACGGCGTCAGTTTGTACGCAAAACTGGGATACGATAACCTTCAGACACTGCTCTTTCAAACTGGCTACACGGCAACAGCTCTATGTTTCAGCATCATTGCCATGACCTACGTCGACCGCGTCAAGCGGAACTATCTCATCGGCGTTGGCTTTAGCGGCTGCGGCATTGCTGTCATCCTCGAAACAGCGCTGACTGCGAACTTTCTAAACTCTGACAACAAGGCCGGTCTGGGTGCCGCTGTCTTTGCTTTCTTCCTCTATGTGGTCTTTTTTGAACTTTGTCTGGATGGACCCGAGTTCTTCTATCACTCTGAGATCTGGCCGACGCACATGAGGGCGAAGGGTTACACGCTTTGTGTCGCTTTTTACAGCGGGATCAATATGTAAGTGTATATGCCCCGAACCTCTTTCTTGTGGGATATCGACGTGCTGACACTAGCCTTCTCTAGAGTGTGGCTTCAAGCAGCACCGACAGCTTTCGCGAACATCGGATGGAAGTACTACATCTTCTTCATCCTCTTTTCGGCCCTGGGAGCGTTCTGTGCCTTTTTTATCTTCCCCGACACCCTGCACAAGCCGTTGGAAGAAGTCGCGGCCATATTCGGGGATCACGACCTGGTCATAGTTTATCAGAAGGAGCTCGATAGCGCTCATATTGCCCTTGAGACCATCGAGGAGATTATTCCCGGAATGGGCCCGAAGCAGGTCGACGACGCAAGTTCAGAGAAGGAGGGACCTCGAGCGGCCGTGATTGAAGATGTAGGCACCCAAGCCTGAAAATGGATGAGAATTATCCGTCAGGTGCTCTGCTCATGCCTCTTCTACTTTGAAGTCGAGGCAAATCGGGCGGATGCTTCTCAGAGGCGAGGAGGAGTGTGCTTCCCTAGGTGCCTTACATGACAAACACGTTGTTTCCTGATTTTCCAACCTTCGCACTGAGCAAATACTATTACTAGGGGCTGCTAATCTTGCAGAATTTGCGGATCAAGGGTACCAGGTAAGTGGTAATATGTGTACCAATTGTGGGTTGCGGCTTAGGTACATAAGTGCAACGTCCCATTCTGAATCGAATTGAATTCCCTTGGTTGGGGAAGCAACGACTGTACCGTGGTCACGAGGGCTTTGAATCTGGTATAGCCATATATATTAGTGATGTTGCTGGCCTGCCACCCCCTTTACAGGATTCCGTAATTTTACTACATTGGCCCTCTTTTGCATCCTTGGTGGCAAATGTCCTCAACTGGGGTCAGCTTGGGAAGCCATCGTGACAGTCTCTCCGAAGGATGAGGGAACAAGTGGACAATCCGCAGATTTGGCACATCCTTTCAGGGCGTGTTATTTTATTCTTTTGAGATAACCCGGAGAATATACTACGTACATACAGCATCTCTCCATTGGATACCACGAGCAGTTGACCTTGAGAAAGACTACGAATGTTTGGAAATATTTTCATTAGGGAGATGGTGTTAATACATGAATAGTGACCCAGGATAGGGCCATTATTATACTCGAGCACGTCTCAATCAGATAATTTGCTTCCAAAAGCAGGCACGGACAAACCTTTTGGGATGTCCACACTGTGCTTCCTCTGTTACGGCGTCAGTTCGGTACATGGTCCTTTCACTCCTCTGCTTAGCATTTTGGCTGATCTGCCAACCTCGAAGAAGACCCATGCAGAGGCCAGCAACAACGAAGACAACTCCTGTAAAGATTTGTGCGCAGACATACGAGCCGCTCTTGGCCACAATCTGCAGGTCGATTGGCGCACTGGCAATCGACGGAATAGCCAGCACAACCCAGAAGATACTCAGTCCCGAGGGTAGATTTTCGATACCAATGATCTCAGCCATGACCGGCGCAGCAAGTACCCAAAAGACACCACCCACGGTGCCTTCCACAAGGGCAAAGAAGATCAGTAATCCGTAAGTTTTGGCGTTGATCCAGATTGAAACGCCCAAAACTGTCGCCGAAGTATCCAATGAGTGGACGCCCGAGTGCCTGGCCTAGCATAAAGAGAGCCGGAATGACTGCCGCTTGAGAGTCGTCAAGCCCGATCTCATTCGCATAGTTGGCGAGGGTGAAGACCAGAACGAAATAACCAAGCATACTCAAAGAGCCAAAGACCAGCAAAGCGATGTATTCCATTCGTTTGAGAAGAGTAAAGTCAAAGGCCAGTTGCCGTGAACCAATCGATTCGTACCGGGTTTTGATGAGTAAAATGGCTATTGTATTGACAACGAAGGTGATGATGCTAAATTTCGAAGAGTCCAGGCCAGACCTAGGCTCCCAATCAACGCCGATGCGCTCAGGGAATATGTGAGGCCTCCAAGACCAGCTCCTGCGATCGCCGCCCCATTGGCCAGTGCACGTCGCTTGGTGAACCATTGGGAAACGATGCCGTACGATGGAAGGAACATTAACCCCATTCCGATGCCGAAGAAGGCACCCTGGGACAGCAAAAGCTGCCAAGAGGCAGTCGATATGCTCGCGCATATGAGGCTCACTGACTGTAGGAGAGCACCGCAGACCATGGTAGGCCGTGTCCCGACGGCTCGAACAAATATAGTCACGGGTGGGGAGAGTAAAAGAGTGCATCCGATGCTCAAGGATCCGACCAACGCATACTCGAGGGGCCCGACTCCCGGAAACGTGTCGTTTTTTAGATAATAAGCCAGGAACACCGAGTATGCAGCGTTGACGCCCCACGAATGAGCATTGACAACTGCAACGCAGAGGGTGACAATCCAGCCGTAGCCTCCATCCGGCGTTGCAGTACGGGGCTGTTCTTGTACCACAACCGTTTGATTTTCCGAATACGCCCCCAAGGCAAAGCCTGATTGTGATTCGAGTTGGGACATCACCGCACCAGAGAGTCAAAGGAGAAGAGCATAGCTACATTTGAAAGACGTCCTAGATACGTGATGTCCTATATAAAAACCAACTTTGCGGAACATCCAGATCTATTCCCCGAAACATGGCTAGGTTCCCTAGTTTACACAACAGGCACGGTATATTTTTTTTGTTTTAAACAAAAAAAGGGCTTGACGGGTCATAGATTCCCTGCGGCACCCAGAGGATATCTCGATGTACCCTGGTAGCTCCTGTATCGCTACTCGTACCGACACCGATCCTGATCCCGGACTTTATCCATGCTCTAGCTCTTGGGGCATTTCGTGCTCGAACAGGCCCCCCCCCTTCCTCCTCCAGCCTGTGCATTCAACTTGAATGGACACTTGATTGTTGTTTTCTTCCCGCTTATGACTTTAAAAATTGGGGGCCAGAGTCTTCTATTGTCAATCGAGTAACGTCACAGAGACAGATCTCTTGCATTACGCGTCACTCAACAACTGATTTGCCGGAGGACTACTTGCTCAATGAACGGGTCGTACGCTGAAGTCACCTGCAACGATCGTGAGAGCAGTACACGACCCCATACCACATTGGGACGTCGATGGGCGTGACTAGCTCTAGAGACCTGTTCATGGTAGAAGGTAAAAGTTTCAAGTGTATCCTGCTGTTGTGAACGTGTTGTTGCTCCTCCCACTCCCTCATGACTCGCACCGGTCAATATTACTCTCATTTTGCCATGACCGCAGTTTGTTTTCTTTACAAGCGGTACTGAACATCAACAATGGTGTGGTTGAGACGGCTTCGACAGCGCAGGCGGCAAATTCATGCCCGAATACCGCACATGCAGATTTCTCCACGCTCGAGGCCAACGAAGATTTTATTCGGGATACGCCCGGGTGTAGACCATTCGTATTGCCTCGAAGTAAATCTTGCAAGGCAACCTGCAACCTATGCTCATCAGAACATGCTCTGCGGTCTTCAGGTCGGGGTAGTCGCTACGTAGCAGCCAAACTTGGGCCCGGGGCTGTCCCTAGCCTGCAGAAACAAGACGACCGGATCGTCATGTCCGCTCCGGCCTCGGCGATGTTGAGGTTTGACAAAATGATGTTGGCCTCTGCAGTACGACCGAGTCGCTGCAGGCATTCGTAATATCCTTTCAGCGCCCAGATATTGTTAGGGTGTTGATGCGCTCGAACCAACTTCCCGTCCAGTCCCAAGTCCTCGGCATAGATCTGTGCGGCTTCTGCAACATGACCTTGTTCTAGAAGTAAGGCTGCGTACGGATGGCGAGTTGGCAGCATCCAGCCCCACGGCTCGGAATAGATCAAAGCGTCATCCTTCGCCACGGCGAGTTGTAGGCGCTCGAATGCCACCTTATAGTTCCCACGCCGGTACTCGATTTCCCCATCCAACATGGCTGTCGCAATCTCAAGTTCGTCGACGACCTTGTTCGGGAAATCCATTCGGGTAACTGGGACACGCTTGGCCGCCTCGCGAAAAAGCTCTCGTTCTCGATCGGCATTTTGGACATTTCTGGTTGCAGCCCAGGCGATCCCTTTGCCATAATGCATCATGGCCGTGGTAACACAATAGAGCTGCTTGTTTTCTGGCAATGGGAGTCTCTTCAACCTGTCCCACATTCCAAACCTGATGAGGACATGCACGCGGACCGACGTGAAGAATTCCACCCAGTCGGCCATCGGAGGGGAGTTGATAAGGAGGATATCATCGCTGAGAGTAGACTCCATGCGATCCGTCGCCTCCAAGGCCACGCGTGAGTTTCCGGCCATCATGGCTCCGTAGATCAACGAATGGTAATTATGCATGCGATAAAAGGTGTAAAAGTTTTTACCGCCCTCACGGGCATAGTATCTATCATCCGCCATGGTTGCTTGGATGTTTGTATGCATGGCTCGGCGATAATCTCCGACGAGAACATCGATATGACTCGACATATGGGTAATATGTCCGCCGTCCGGGACAAGTTTTCTGAGGTTGTCTGCCGTCCTCAGGGCTAACTGGGGGGTTTTCGACATCTCGACACAGTGGATGTACATGTGCAGAATCCCCGGATGGCGGTCTGCTCTCGGGTGCTGTAGGCCGGATTCGAGAATTGTCTTGACTTCCAGGACCGGTGTGGCGAGATTTGGCTCACCGGTCCCGGCCTCGTATAGCTTCCACGGTGCCATGTTCATTAAAGCATCCGCCGCCAGGGTGATAATGTCCAGATTTCCGGCTCCAAGCTGGAGGTTAGCCTCCCTCATTGCGTCGGCGTATGCTCGGACGGACGGGGTGAAGTCGCCGGGTGGCTCTCTGGCTGGAAAGCGATGTTGCAGAGCTTCGATGATAGCCTGCTCCGCGACCGAGGCTTTGTCAGATAATTCCTTCGCTTTACGGGACCAGTCGTAGCACTTCGCGACAGACTCTTTCAAATCCTTGGGATCAAAAGCCTGCCAGACCTTATTGTAGTTGGGACCCGTGGCGAAGGCGGCTCCCCAGTAGCCCATTGCACAATCCGGATCATGTAAGATGACCTGTCGGAAACAAGCAGCCGACTCTCGGTGGTTAAACGAATAGACCCATAAGAGGCCTCGATCGAACCATATTTGGGCGTCGTGAACCTGGGTGCAGACAGGCCATGTATACTCACCGAGATCGTAGTAAGGTTCACTGGCCGGGACTTTACCTGCGTTTTCCAAAGTGAGTGCTGTCGCCATCTCGAGAATCGTCTTTCGAGAGAGTTCGAGGAGTAAATCGAAGAAGGGACATGTGTAGAATTTACATCTGGCTCTATACTAGGTCTCGATCAAAATTCTAGTCGGGGACTAGTTCTGTTTTGCGCAAGCGAAGTCTAGTTCGCGGCACCCACCAGAGGGGTGACAGAATTCCATCTCCACTATTGGGCTCGTGGGGTATTCTGCCCATATTACCTTCCTCGCTGGGGAGACGGAATTCGGTCACCGGCATGCGACGGTAGCTTTACCTAATTCAGATACTTTTCTATGGGTGGTCGGTGCGGGGCGGGGGGGACTATGGTTCGTCTAGAATTTGTTGCCTCAACTGGTCCCCGAGGTTCAGTCGGGGAATAGAAGTGTTTGCCAAGGTTGAGAAGCCGCCACCTCGCACCTCAGATATTCTCACACTATATACTCTAGATCTAGAGACCTAGAGACCGAAGGAATAGGCAAGCGGCGAAACAGCCTGCCCCGCAAATGTTGAAAGGATCAAGACAGCACACGCCGAGGCAGCAGCAGTCGCCTGAGCATGGAGAAACAGCAGTCCGGGGTCGGGCATACGACTGCTCACCAACGCACAGCATGTCTTAATTGCCGTTCGACCAGACAACGTTGCGGCCGGGAAACTCCATGGTGAGTTCACCCCGAGGCGAGGGGGAGACTCATTCTTATATCCAGAATTGATCATGTGTGTAGCTCGCGCTGCTTGTCGAATGGTTTGTCGTGCAGCTATCCTCACTCTTCTCGTCGTGGTCGGAAGCTGGGAAGTACCAAGTGAATCATGCCTCTCCGTTTCTTCTTCGTGACCGAGTCAGGCGCTGGGCTTCCTGTCTGTCTCTGCTGACGCAGCGGCAGCAAACCCGACACCGTCGAAAAGCTCCTATCACGCATAAACCAGAGCAGCGTGCGAGACCAGGTCATCAATGCCCTTCTCGCATCTGCCTCGGCCAATCGAGGTACCGCCTCTTCAACGGCCAGAGACTCACCTTCGCAAGCTGATGATGTCTCCATCGCCTCAAATGCCCCGTTCGCCTATACGACCGACAACAACAGTGATCCTCATCAAAGCCTTGAACCCGGAGACAGTCAGACCAATTCTGCGGCAGACGGGCTCGAAAATCAACAGCCCCTGGAAGCGCCTTTCCGCATCTGGGAAGTCAAGGTCAATAACCTGGGGAGCACCAACCCCCGACAGAATTCAGATCGATTGCATTTGCCAGTGGCTTTCCGCCTCCCGTATGGCAAAGATGCTATGGATTCAGTGGCTAAGCGCCTAACAACTTATTTCAGTACGGTGATCCCGCCTTCTGCGACCTAGATAAAAGTTCTGACCCCGATTTGGGTAGGCCCTCGAAAGACTCTGCAGAAGGACTGGCATTACTTAGCTGCCCAATCGGTGAACAGCACATTCAGACTAGAAAAAGGTGTCTGTGATCCTATCACTGCCCGGCTAATTGATGAGGATGACGTATCGCTGTATTTCAAGCTGTAAGTTGCAGTGTATCCTGGGCTGGGCAGTGCATTTTGTGAAAGCCTGTCGTCTTCGCATTCCAGGCATTGCCCACTGGACCCATATTAGCGTTGCATGGACTGACCACTGGACTCAGATTTTTAGAGCTGCGTAACCCTTTCGTCGGGTTACTGGATCCTCTCCTCCATACCCCCGACTATGTCTATTCCATGTCTTTTACACTGTTCTCCGTTGTTTGTGCCCTTGGCTGTGCGGTATCAACACTCCCTCGGGATCGCGTTGTCTACCCCGCCCTGTTTTCTTTGGCCGAAGGATGCCTGAAGTGGTCCATCGCGACGTCTGTGAAGTCGATTGAAACGATCCAAGCCATAATTATCATGCAGTATTGGGCTCCTGTTCACCAGAAGCAATCGGATGATCCCTACTGGCTTCAATTGAATCATGTGAGAAGAGCGAGATTTTGCGCAGATCACGCACCGCCGAACGGATGAGAAGAGCTGACGTGCTTTTTGAGTTGACCAGGCCGTACGACTCGCCAGGGAGATTGGAGTAGATAAAGCCACGGTCGTCATCGAACATCTCAGCGCTCTACCGCCTTCTACGAGTACGGACACCAAAGAGCGTATTTTCCGGAACTTTGAGAGAACGTGGCTATATACATTCATCGCCGATAAAAGCTTCGGTATCATAAATGGACGGCGACCCTTAAGTGTTTCGAGGCACGAACTCCCTGTGTCAGCAACAACGTGGTGGCAACATCCAGTGGCCACACCCCATGACCAGATGATCAGCGGCATCATAGAGATCAGGGTACTCCTGGTGCGTACTAAACTCTTCAAACTCCCCGACGGGCTTGAAAATTTGCTGATAGCTATATAGCTGCATGCATTGGAAGATCGACAACGGTCGAAGAATGACGCGACATCCATATCAAATTGGCATTTTCAGGCCCTCCGGACATTGGAACAAGCCCGCGATTCCCGATGTTCTCATGATGGTGATCCATCGTCCAAGTACCTTCCTATTCTCGCATTCTACATGGATCACAGCATCCTAATCCTCAATGCCCAAGCCGCCGCGGCATTAAGGGGCCTTAATCAAGGTACGAGTTCGCCCGAGCTTCGAAGCGTCTTGCAAACAAGTGTCAACGTTGCGAGCCACCTGATGGATATTGTGCTCTCTGAACAGATCATGTTCGATCTCAAGTTGGGCTCCCACAATAATCTGTTCATCATCATCTGTCATGCAGCGACAGAAATCATTTTTGTGAGTCTTCTCGGTGATATCACGAACCGTAGTCTGTCACTGCGGTGCGCTAGTCTGGAGCTGACACGTGTGCCCCCTAGGCCATTAAATGCGACGGCATTGCGTCGACCAGCGTTGCCGAACTGGCCGTCAAAATGAACGCAGTACTGGAGCACCTGGGAAGCGTAGCGGGAGGGCTTCCAGCTTCATCTGCCGCACACCTTTACCTAGACTTCTTCTGGTTTCTGATGTCTCGATTTGACGACGCTGTTAGCAATGATAACCATCAAAATCCACGAAGTGAAGCTGGCGACGACACCTTGTTCCCCGACTGGTACAGGATATTCGACGAATCCTCGATGGATTTGACCGGTTTTCTTGATAACGACATTCTTGGCTGGGATCAACCTCTGTTCAGCCAATGTGACTTTGCCAACGAAACGTGCTGAAAGGTTTCAATCATGCGACACTTGTCACAGTCCGATGTGTGCGTTCAGTAGGTGATTCGTTAAGCTGTCTATGCAATGTTGAGGTTTCGAGAAGTTTTTTTTCTCGCCAACAGCGACCGATGGCCAAACAGAATCAATCCATTGGAGACAGAGCAACACATCGTTCATATCGGTAAAATTCTTCCTGTAGCTGTCTTTGAAGAGCTCGCTGAGCTTAACAGGCAGCTAGGAGTTTTTTTTTCTCCCTTCTCTATGGTAAATATACGGCCGCACTTGAATGCCTCGTTGAGGATCGGAACAAGAAAAACCGCATATTGGAAAACACCATTTGTCTTTTCCTCGTATCTGCATTCTGACCTACTTGATCAACTTCCCCCTTGGTGCGGAGAGGGCACGACGCCCTGGCTAGGCTTTTTCTCACAGAGAGAGAGAGGGAAAAGTCCACGTCGACTTGAAGGACACCTCTGCCGTCCAAAAACCTTTCGTGCGGCGGTAAAACTCGCCGGGCGGAGAGGCATCGTGGGAAATATGATATGTAGTACCTAGCCTCCCGTTGCTAGAGTCCCGTCGGCTCGCCCGTACTCCAATATGGCTCCCTCAGTGCTCCCGTGTTTGGCCGGGCGCTCTCGCGATGCTTCGTCATGTGCCCGACTAAAGCAGCCTCTCTCTCAATCCTGAACGAAAGTGGAAATGAACGAAGCACAGTTCGGGTATATATGATTTATATACATCACAAAGCCTCGTACGAACCATGTCCATGTACTTACGTGTACGTTCACGACGATGCCGGCATTGGGAACTGGTGACTCTGGACACACTGAACACACTATGCAAGTACACAGAGAAACAAGGGAACAGGGATGAGTGAATGAGTAGACAATTCCCAAAGTCGGGTTTCGGCCCATTCACTCCTCCATCATCAAAAGAACAAGGTACTTGGGGATCGATTGAATTGGTATTTCTTGTTTTGCACAAGTAGGTACATACTATAAGTCTATAAGGTCATCACAGACAAGGTAGGCGTAAAGGTATACAGGTATACAAGCCCACCAAGAACCCTGAGCATGGGCTCTTCTTGAGACTTTTCATTCCTTTGTTCACCCCTTTTTCTTATATCTATTCGTGCCGACTAGGATGGCGTTCCTCGAGTTCTTGATCTAAGAGATGAAGTAGAAACGTTAGCGTTCGTAATTTTTCGGAAACAACACTTCGAGGGGAGATGCCTAAAGTACCTGTCATAGCACGCCGAACCGCCATCTTGGAGGACGGATCCTGGAACGCCACGAGCGGCTCCATGGCCACGCGCAGATCGGTCTGGTCTTTGCCCAGCGGGGCGTCGTAGTCGATGGAGAAGACGGAGACGGTGGCGAAGCAGCCCTCGTCGACGATGGTGGTCTCACCCGGCAAGGCGCAGTTGCCGTTGATGCAGCGGTTGACGCCGGAGCCGAGGATGTCGCCGTAATGGAACGTGCCCGTCGTGGCGTTGAACACGGCCGAGTCGATGAAGCCACCCCCAGAGAAGCGGGTCTGAATGAATGGCGGGGCGACGCACGAGTCGTTGATGAGGGAGGTAATGAGTGGGGTGTTGACGCTGTTCATCGTTAATTTTATACCCTCACTCTCACACACACACAATCTCATCAGCATGAAACTTACTTCAGCCCATAGCCTACCGGCATCAGCCTCTTACCCGCCTTCGTCCCGTTCACAAGTTGTTCAACCACATCGGCAGCCAACCGGCCCTGGATGGTGGCAGGGTCGGGGTGACCGGAGGCGGTGGTGGCGTTGATCCAGGTATATGCCCTCTGCTCGCTGTTACCCCCAGAAAATGCGATGGCGGGGTACCCTCGACCGACGGCCGCGTACGTGCCACCCATCGTGCCGCTCAGGGTGTACAGAAAGCTTCCCACGTTGGTGCCGTAGTTGGGCCCGCCCACGTAGAGGTCGATGGTCTTGTTGTCGTAGAACAGCGGAAGCACATGGTCCAGGGCCACAAAGGTGCACGCCGCGGGGGTGCCATTGTAGTACCAGATGTCCGGGTCTGATGGATCTCGGCCCAGGGCCGGAGCACCCGCTGGAATCAGGTTGAACTCGGACGCCGTCGTCAGGTTCGGCGACGACGAGTAGACCGACCGACCGCCCTGGCCGCTCTCGTTGTCGACGGGAGCGACGACCAAGACATCGTGTCCGGCAGCCTTGAGGAAGCGGTAGAACTCGCGAAGCTGGGCACTTCCGAACCCGTCGTCGTTGCCCATGAGGATCGAAATGGCCGCAGAGCCGCTAGACAGAGCGGCCATTACGGCCAAGGACGAGACAAGCGAGAGCTTCATCTTTCCGACGTTTTAGTGATGACCCGGACTGAGCTTCTGCGTGACTCGTGAACCAAACCTCGCAAACCCTGACTCTCGAAGCTCTCCGTTCCTCTCAAGAAAGAAAGCCCTAGAGAAAGAAGTAGAAGAGCTCCCCCGGCCACCACGGGGTGCCTTATGCCACTTTAATACCCTAGCCGGTCCATCTCTCTCTCTTACTTCCCCATGTGTCATCGTCATCAAAGCTCCATGACACTGCAGACAAGTTCCGGCAGGCGCACACGCACCAACGGCCATGCACCGTTAAGTGATTGATTGCAACGTCTCATCGAGGCACACGACCACATGCCTTGACCGGGATAGTGTGAGGACACCAAACTGGGAGGCACAGAAGCTTTGCCAAGTCTGATTGGCTGACGATAAGGGCTTCGGCGAGCTCCATGGCGTCGGAGGAAGCACTACTCCAAGTAGTACCTGCGGAGCTTGACCGATGCAGAGTCCATGCTCGATGCGAGTTAGAACTTGGTAATAAATAGCTTGTGGCGATCGTCTTCCTGAAAGTGTGGGCGGGACGTTCGTTCAATCGAGTTGATAGGGAGAAAGATCGAGATCGAGATCGGCGAGAGGTACGAAGGACAAGTGGCGGTGGGCGCTCACCCTAACTCGCGCGAGCCCGGGGTAAGCCCAGGGCGGCGTCACCCTCGGCCTCGATGAAACATTACAATCAATCAGGTAACGGTGTATGGCCGTTTAGTGCGCGTGCGCGTGCTGGAACCTATCTACAGTGCCATGGAGCTTTGAAAACCTCAACCCCAACAATGTAGAAACTTCAGCTTCCTGACTAATCAGGAGAGCCTCGCCTGCTGGGTATTTGGCACCGCGGGTCAACGCGACTGCGACTCGAATCAACATTGATGCATCAAAGCACAAGCTTCCCTCGACAGCTCAAGTTGTGAAATCTTACGATGAATCAGATATTCGTCATTTCTAGCATTCTTTCGAGAGTGGGATACCTCAACGATTCGAGTCTATTGCCCATTTTGTCTACGGACACACTCTCATGGTCTTGGAAGCCTCGATTTCGAGCATGATTCTCTTTTGGAAGCTTCGTTGAAACGCCGACGCGCTCCCCATTGTGGGTATCTATTGGATGATTATCAGATCTGCTTTCCATTTGAGGACGCAGCTCAGAGCAAAAGCTGTGGTTGGTTCATTGACAAGATCGAACACAAATACGTCACTGTCAGCCTGCCCCCTGAAGTTGAATTCGAGAACTACTTCGTTCAAGACGAGAACGGTTCGACAGCGTCCGATTCCACCAGTTCACATTACGTATGAACAGACGTAGGTATTCTACCTCGGAGGCATGCAAACAACATCATGGTCACACTTGAAGAGTTCCTCGACCGGAGAAATCCAGATATCGACAGCAGCAATATTTTATCAGGTCCAAACACCGTCAGCATCCACTACTCTAATCTTGGCGGAGTAGAAGAATGGGGAGAGTTTAATTATACCACACTCAGGAATCTTTATGGCGAGATACTGGATCGAACCCTCCTCAACCCTCCGGACAATCAAATTCCAACCGAACTCGAAGCCGAGATTTGGGACGAGCGTCAATTTGAGTTACTCTTCTCGCAATATATGCTGACTTCGGTGCGGTATGCACTCCGGCAAGCTTACGATTATTGTGACAAGTCGTGGGAATGCAATCCTCCAGGAGAATTCTTCGCTCCGATCGACCCCGGGGCCGGGGGCCGTGCTAAACGCCCCAAAGACAGCGACAATCCACGCTTTAGACCGGACTGGTCTTTCGTGAGAAGAGGCTATATGACTTCTACCACCCCGAAATCCTATATCAACCTCTGTCCCGGAGACACAAAACTTGGGGTGAAGTGGAAACACGAGTGGCACCGAACAGACTTTAAAACATGGAAGGTTCCGGCCGAGCAAATCCAAACTTATTCAGACGATCATTGGAATGTTCGTTATGGTTAGATTATCACCGAGGATGGCTTAACAGTCTTTCTGATTACCAGACATACAGTCGGCTCTGGCCTATCAACGACAAGGAGCCTACGTACCGCTGCTTCAACTCTAGGTCATGCACGCGTCGCTTCTGATGAAACTGACCTCAGTTCTCTCATGACTCCATTGTCGATCACAACACACAGTTACCGAGATGATCCGCCAAATGTAGAATATCAACCGATCAAAGCAAAATTCATTCCGTGGACCATAGTCAGCAAGGGCCTGAACGTCAAGAAAGCCCTTTTCATGCTCTTCATGCTTGCTGGCGCGCCAGGGGGCCCGAAGCTGGTGCAGACCGATTATCCACCTCTGGATTCTTGGTGGCCGGAAGGAAGCGTATTCCGTCACAACTCAACCGGCAAAGTCAGTAATTACCTCCAACCGACAACTCTTCTGAGTCATCCTTCCGGAGAAGTTGCCGATCCGACTACACCAGTAGAAGAACCTAGAAGGCGTGGGGCACACGAAGAACGGGCGTCTGAGGTTGCGTCCGGGTCTGGGAATGAGCAGGGCCGTGGCAAACGGAGGAGAGTCGACGTCAAATAGACTCGGACCGTTGGTAGGTGGATAAAACATCGGTTTCGGATCGTCAGCTGACTTCTGCTTGGAATTTTGCTCGTAAGGTTTTGTGGGACTGAGCCATGATCTGCCATTTCCCTTGGAATGGTAACGTCAGGACATCGCCACTGTCCACAAGAATTCCTTCGCCCAACCAGTTCCGCGGTTCAAACACGCTGAGATCAAATCCTAGGTAGGATGCCAGATCCAACCACCGTACGATTTTTGGGGGGTCTAGCGGAGCGTTAGAAACTACGAGTTTCTTCACGATCCCAAATGGGTCGTCCTGGAAACCAGCGCCGTTCATTGTAAATCCAACATCCAGTTCCCATTTGCGTATGAGGTAGTTCATGTCCTTATGGTTCAACCTGATCCATCCCAAACTACCGTCCATGTCGGAAAGAATCTTGCAGCTTTCAGTGGTATTTGGAGCCTGGTCGTCCTTTCCTTTTTGGTTTCTTGTGTCGTGATCTGAAGAAAATGATCGTAGGAATCGAAGCATATCATCAAGGGTATATGGTTCTGGAGGAGGGCCTTCCGGGAGCGATTTGCCGTTCAGCACACTTGCATTGACAGCTTCCGCTCTAGAGTAAAATAGAGACTCTCGAAGGAATGGCCAGATGTGAGGACGAGGGGGGCGATGGACTTGTTTGAACTTACGAAAATTCCAGTACATCAGCTCATATTCATCTTTCATCATTTCACACGGAATAAGACAGCTTACCACTTTCAGCGCGAACGGACCATCTCCATCTATGTTGACCTTGAAGATGTAGCCTTCCATTCCATGGTCATCGATGAGTTCCTCCACGCGCACGTTTTGACATGTGGGATATCGCCTGAGTCTTGGACGGTAAAGGCTCTCGAAGGTCTGGGGTGCTGGAGGATGCACCTTCTCGTGCTTGGAGAGAAAGGGGAACTCTGACAGCTCAGACTCGAAGTCGCCAATATTCAAGAGCCTGACGTCCACAGGGCGTTTTGGAAGAGACGGTGACCACACCATAGAGCATCGATCATAAGGTTTCAAGCGAACTAAGATCGGACTCACCTTCCGGTGCGCACTCGACGAGGAGTAATGATGGGACGACGGGGAGGAATCTCAAAAGACTTGGAGAAGTTGCGATCACGTGATTTCAGAAGACTAGCAGGCGATCGCGGGGGGTTCCACATACTAGCGCACCTCGAACTTCTCGGCGGTCGGAGCAGATCGACACATGCAACTAGTGACATGCATAACCCCGCTTTCGTCTTTCTTGCGTCCTTGCGCCATCTATAGAAAGCAGGCACCATCCTCCATGTCATCCATCACCAGTCGATATGGCCGCAGGTGTTGCAGAGCTAGACACAGGCGCCGCGCGAAGTGGCCACAACAGACCTGACCAGCAGCTGGTCGCGCCTGGTCGCTCAAACCGTGGGGAACAGCGCCAGTCACTGAGAATCAACCCTAATTGAATGACCATAGGGAAATGGCACCTTACTGCCAAAGAGGAAGAAAAAGATACCGCAGAGTACCGACGAAAGAGTCGAAGAATAGAGGAGAGCTGTCAGTTTCTTCCTTTAATATTGCCATTTGATTGACCATGTCACAGCGAATCAACGCCCACGAAACGCCCTCAAAGAAGGCCCGAAGCTCACTCGCAAAAGCCCCCGATTACAGGAGAGACGACCCACGAACTCACAGCGAACAGCAAGAGGAGGGAACAAGAGACGGATCTACCACATCCACAGAGCGAAGAAGTGAAGCCACACCAATACTGTAAAGAGGAGGGCGAAGGCCTGTCCGCGGTATCAACTCCACGGTTAGGAGTGCACGAGAGCAGTCAGTTACGTCAATGACCTCAATCGACAATATTGCTAATTTCCCCTGTACAGCTAAGCGTCGACGTTGCGAGAATAACGGAGACGAATCGAATCACCAGGCGAAACGTCCAAGACGCAGACTAGCACAATACGCCGAGGCAAGAAGCAAACCTCCAGACAAAGAGGAGTCCATTGAAAATTGGTTGGAAGGGTCTTCCTGGTCTCGCAGGGCCTCAACAGAGCATCAAACCCATCTGCCCGAGACAGTGATCAAGATGCACCGCAAAGCCGCCGGCACCGTCCTTCCATCCCCAGGCAATAGCTTTGAAAGCACCACATCGTCGTCGAGAAGGTCAGAGAAATTTACTGCCAGTGTGCATGACACCGAATATCGACAATCATTGCGCTATCGCAACATTTACATCGAACGAGAAAATCCTCCTCCAGAGTTGATGAGAAGGGCACAGCGGATAATATCACGCTCCCGAGTCTCACCTGAGATCGACGATGCCACCATTGAAGAGCTGAAAAGGACATCTCGAAGACTTCAAGATGATACCGAGGATATGATCATTAAGCAGTTGGTCCCAGACATAATTCCAGCTATGAAAAGGATACCCGACTAGAGGTTGGAAGTGAATGCCGATCAACTGTGGTGCAATGCTGTCCCTGTCTCACTCAACGCTAACGTACTTACCACGCCCCTTCCCTTGCCAAAACCAAAACCTGATTTAGCTTTCGGATATTCCCAAGCTGCCTTTACTGAAAAACAGCTTATGACCATTGATCTTCTCGTTGACGACCAGTTCGGTCGAAGTTACGCTATCCCGGACCAGAAGGTTCGATTTCCGTTTCTCGAGATTGAGTTCACATCTCAGGCCAAGAACGGAACCCACTATATTGCAACAAACCAGGCCGCTGGTGCCGGAGCTATCGCCTTGAACGGCAATATGGATCTGACACAGCGCAGCTTTGGTATGGACAAATTCGATTATGAAGAGCCACAATATTTCTCTGTCACTATGGACCACCAACTAGCATGTATTAATGTACATTGGCTGGGAGCTCCGGCTGAAGGAGGACAGCATAGCTTCCACGTCGAAGGGTTATCACAGCATCTTCTGCGGGATGAAAACGGCATACGAGCAGTTTCTCGAGCGATCAAGAACATCCTTGACTGGGGTGTAGATCCATGGCTACGAGCACTATGTGCGGCTCTAGATGCGTACCGGGAGACGGTGGTCCGTAACAGGGAAGCGGCAAATGCTTAGAGGAGGCAGGGCCATGACATTCCGCCCACACCACAAATTGTACTGCAGACAAGAGGAACGGTCCTGCCACTTGATCCGGGAGTGGAAAGGGCTGCATCATGCCAGTACGTGCAGACTGCAAATTGAGCGGCAACCGCAGCGCGAACAAACAATGCCTAGGTATGGTCGTGTGGATATTCCCGCCAGTGCACCCCCCGAGATTTCACGGCACCCTACTATTGCACCGACGACTCACCCCTATGAGGATGCTGTGATATCCCGGCAACCTATCCCAGGTACACATCTCGGGCAATCTGCTGGTGAGAGAGGGCACCTACTTGAATATGGCAAAAGTAGGAGGCAAATCAAACCCACGCAGAAGGTACTGGATTACGCTTCCGCTAATGGAGGTCGGCTCCGAAGACGATGAGGTAATTATGAGAAGACGAGGCAACTGCGCCCTTCTCTTTGTTTTACCCGTGCCGGGTGGTCCTGATATGAGGCAGGGGACTGTCCCATATCTATCTGCAACGACAGCTGCGACAGCTTTTTGTTGCTCGAAGTTGAGGGAGGCATCTCTCTCTCCAATCTATGTCAAAGGAGGCCGCTGATAGTTTTGTCTGCTCCGCTATTGAAGGCACCGCGACGAACAATGGTTTCAGCAATCCAAATTTTCTGTGGTAGGGATGGACCCCACGGACATCGCTTGGCTCTCTGCGCGACGGTCTCGGACGATTTAACCTGTCATCAGCCTCGTGCTCTGTCGCTGTGATGAAATCGTCTAGGGCTTCATCCGTTTTGTCGATCGCCTCTGTTTGTGACTCGGAGTCACATCCTCCTCCTTTGTCCAAGTCAAGCCGAACAACATCTGCTGGCACAAAAGTTAACCTCGGCTCAGGTACACCATCCCCGAAGTGCTTTTGCCATCATGTATTGATCTGATTTGACGAATCGACCGGGGTGTCAGTGGACCTTTTGCCATGCCAGACGACATACATACGAGGTACTGACTGGTTCTGGTCAAACGAGTAAGCCGCTTTAACACAGAGCAGGGGAGTTGTCGCGGAACGAGTAAAGCAGCAAGAGGCCTCCGAACCAGTGGGTTGGGCAAAGTATACGAGATACACTGAATCCCAAGGTAAGCAAGCAATGCTTATCAACGTACTTGTATGCACTTGTATCCTGTGTTGCTTGGTAAAGAGTATTTGGTCTCTGATTACTCGGTACAATCTATTGTGTATCGCTTAACATGAGCTCAGCTCCAATCGACATTGAATATCCGCCGCCACCACCGCTATGCACCATATCCCCCGATCTGTCTGCTTTGCCCACTTGTTGATCAATCGCTTGAGGGTACGATGCATATTGATACATCGTCGTAACCAGCAAAATGAGGCTCTTGAACTATGCTGTGTGTGTAGAGCTCTCTTGTCCGAAGATTTGGAGAAGCTCGCCAGGGACCGCTCGAAGTAGATTCTCCTCAACTTGGTCATGCTTTGAAAACAAATGCAAAATGGGCGCCAATATTCGAACACACATCATTCCAATGGAAAGAAACTCTCACCAAAAGGCGTCGAGCGAGATACACTGCTGGCTCTCCTCCGGGTATTCCCTCCCTCTCTCTCTCTCTAAAAATGTCATTCCTTGTACAATATCTCTCATTGGTGTTCAAAGATCAAGCCTCGTCGATGGTCGGCTTGAAGTGAAACCGGTCTTCGGGCTTCGACTTGAAGGGGACACCCAATTCGAACATCTTGCACAAGACATCCGAAAAGTCCTTGAAAAACAAATCCTGGTCCTTGGCATACTTCTCCACCCACGTCTTGAAGATGGGGTCTTGAATCAAGGCAATGTCGGTAGGCAACATCATCAGGCTCTTGGTCGTGGCATCTTCGTATTGCTTGGGTCCTTTCCAGGATCGCCAGCCCCACTTCTCCTCCATGAGCAGGCGGAAGAAATCGTTTGTAAACATGGTCGGGGAGAAGGTCCAGGGACCATCGAATCCTGAGCGGTTGGCGTGGCATCGGCCAACGGCGTGAGCACCGGACAAGGCCACCATCTCTTGATCATTGAAACCCATGCGGCCAAAGATGGCCCGGATGTGATCTGGGCCCTTGGAGGCGTCGGGCAGGCGGCCGTCCGGTGTGCAGAATGCGACGTCCTTGTCCTGTCGGCCGGGTCTCCAGGGGATGATGGGTCCAGACATCTCTTGAACGGCACAGACACCACCAAGGGTCCACAGGTCGGAGTATGAGATCCAGGGGAACTGGGCCTTGATGGGCTCGAGGAAGTCGCGGGCACTCTTCAAGCCGGCGTTGGCACCGTGCTCGGACTCGGGAGCAAACCGCATAGTTGCGCCGTTGCTTCCTCCAGTGCCTGTAGCAGCATCATAAGTCCCCGACGCATGCCACGCCAGACGCAAGAGCACGGGAGCATAGCTGCCATCGTCATAATCATCCATCTCCCAGAGCTGCTTCGCAATGGCGTTGTACACTTTCTGGTAATCTTCAGCAGTGGGTTTGAAGACCCCGGTGGATTGTCCTGCGCTGCCCTTTTTCAGAGCCTCGGGACTTTCGAGAAGAATCTTCCTTCCATCTCCTGCCGTACCCTGGGTGGTGAAGTAATAGTAACCCCCTGCAAGAGCGGCGACTGCTGCTGCGCTGCTATAGGCGGCAGTGGTAGTGTTTGAGGATCTGGGAGCCGATTGGGAGGAATATTGGCGGCGGGATGATTGCTGGAAGAACTGCTTCGCAGCGGCACTGGATCGTGAGGAGCGAGCAGCGAGACGGAGGGACGAGGTGGCTGAAGCTGTGCCGCGTGCGACAGCTTTGGAAAAGGTGCGGGTAGCAGTTGCGGCAGCCATTATGAGAGGTTATGCACAAAGACGTCTACTGGTACAGTAGAGAATGGGGTGTTTTGAAACGCAGATAACAGAACGAGAGGATGAAGAAGAGCGGGACGGGGGAAGCAAGTTATAGAAAATGAGCAAGAACAAGTCCCGAACTTTCCAGAACAGGTTATGGACACCGAGACATGGGTTGGCAAACACGGCGAGGCTGAATAATGGACAATCGGCGACTGGACATCGGTCAGTCGGTCCACTGTCCACAGTCCACACTTGCTAAAGAGACAAGACAAAGACGGACCCAGGACCCACGGAAAAGGAGTGACCGAGAGTGGAAACGAAGGTGTGCGCGCACAGTCCCTACAGCAAGTAACAAGTACATGGGTGGCGGGGAGGAACGGGGAACAATGGGCAAGTCTGAAGTCTTTTTCAGTACCTTGTACTTGTTAGGAAAGGGAAAAAAGGCCCAAAGCAGAAATCATGAGATTTTTTTTCTTTGCCCTTTATCAGAAGGCGCGCCGCATTGACGTTATCAGCACGCGGGCTACGGCGCTCGGCGCTAGCGATAGGTCAGGCGCGCTTTTAGCGAGTCATGATTGAACGCTGCTTAATCTTGTTAGTAAAAGGCACCCACTCACAAAGTCCAGTCCAATGGGAACTTGTGGCCCTGGCAGCACGCTCGGTCAGCCTCATCCGGGCTTGGCAGGGGAAGGAAATGGGAATGCTACTCGGTACTCGTAGCTAGCCCGCGGCAATGACCCAACAATAAGTGGCTCCATCAATTTTCTCGTAATCCAAGAGGGAGAAAAAAGCACGTCTTTCTCCGGCTGATTTCGTCACGGCCAAAGCCGGGTCATCATTAGGCATCAGGGTGGCACATGGAAATTTGCCTGGGTCTCGTGTCTCGCTGTTGTTTGCCTGATTAGGAATACCTCTCTACGCCCTCGGTGTCTGTTTCTCTTGTAGGTAATTTCGGGAAACATGCTATTCTTCGCCCCCGGCATGGGCGCAAACATGCGAGATTTAGTGCTTGAAAGCTATGTATTTGTTTTCTATGAAGGAAGCTGTGTGTGCATGTCGCTCTGAGCTAATTGTGCCTGAGAGACAGGCTGTTTGTGGACGACCATGAGATACCCAGCACTGTTGTCACTCTGTGTCCCTTAAACCCAGCACTGCTGTTGCTGTCTGTGGCCCTGTTGCTCAGTACTGCTGTTGGTCTGTCTGTCACCCTGTCACTCCGTGACCCTGTGGCCCTGTGGCCCCGTTGCTCGATAGCTCGTTTTCATCCAGCTCGCAGTATCTGTGAACCTGCGGCGAATGCAAAGTACTCGTACATCAATGACCCTTGCCTATTCGACAAAGGCCGGCCGCCGCACTCTTTGTGCTAAACATGAAACCTTGCTCGCAAGGTCAAGATGAATTCAGGGAGCCGCTCCTCCAGGAAAACGCGGGCACTGTTCCTCATTCTTCAGCCACCTTGGGAAAGAGCCCATCAAACGCCTCTGCCGCCGACGTTACCTTGAAAAGAACCTTGCTCTTGGGGTCCTTACGTTTCTTCGAATCTGAAGCCCGAACATGTTCTCGCTCCACAAACGCATCTTTCTTTCCTTGTAGGCTATCGTCGACGCCTACAATCTCTCGCAAAATCTGGCTCTCGTTTGGTAGATCCATCAGTCCTTGACCCCAGCTGACAGATCCGCTACCATGGGAGTGGTCCCAATGTCTTTGTATGCTCTCCATGTCTGCCTTATTCTTACTGCTTCTGTTGCTGTTGGCGGTCTTAACTTGGTTGACACATATACCACATCGGAATTTCAGCTCGATGTCAGTGTTCACGGTTGCCAAATCGTCCAAGCATGCCATGAATGCCGACAGGGGCGGCTCTTCCACATGCTTCTGAGCGTAGAGGTCCAGAGCGTATTTTAAGGCAATCTTCATCTGAGAAGGCCCTGGAAGCCAAATTCCGTTCAACTGCTCAGCCGCGTACAACAGATTCGGACCGAAGTCATCGGCCGCGTGCTTTTGCTGGAGAGCCTGTCGGCCATGAAAAGCGGACATCCGGAGAGCTACGGGTAGGGGCGTGAACTTAGTTTGAACGTTCGGGTGCCAATTGTCCAGTTTCGAGATATCTTGGTGGCAAGGGACAAGGGGCAGACTGATCGGCCATTTTGTCGTGTACCAGGGGAATTTGTACTCGACCCCAGTGTCTTCTGAAGACAATCCCGGAAGACTCTTCACAGGGTGTGGATTGGCAAATTGATAGTACTCAAGACCCTCGCCAACGTTCCTGGCATGGGTTTCAAGAATGTGTTCAAACGCACTCACGAAGGACCAGGTTCGGACGTGGTCATTTCGCGTACAGCCTCTGCATCTCAGACTTTGAAAGACGATCCTGCCCCGTTCTGAGTGTGGCGAGATAGCCTTTTCAAGAACTTCCTCGACAACCATCCGAGCATCGTCCAGACTGAGACGATATAGACCAGTGGTTCCGTCGTAGTTGAGTCCCACTGCGCGGCGATCATTCATGTGGTACGTGACGAACAACCTCTCCAGGCACAGTAGTAGAAGATCTTCGTCGGCCACATTTTCCTTGACACATTGCTTGTAAACCAAGTGCGCGCATATGAGGACGTCTCTTTGCTCTGGTCGAAACGAGGGCGGTGCTGTCTTTCTGCACCGGCGGTGCTCCTGAAGGCGCCTAAACAACCTGACTTGTGGCTCGGACTCGAGGCGTTCAGATTTCATGACACGCTCGAATTGGACGACTTGGTGGGCTTGAAGCCGGTATGGCTCAATCTTTGGCTTTAGCTGGTCCCACATTCGCTCTGTAGGCTCCGTCGCAATTTTGAGATTGCGGACGAATGCACTCATCTTCCATAAGATCCTGCTGTCCATGGGTGGCTCCAGCTCTGCGGCACGTGCTTGGAAGAAGTCGATCCTCTTTTGTCGCCAAGCTTTACCCGCAGGATTGTGAGTCGTCTTCCCGTGCTCTTTGAACCACGCCTCCAGTGTGTTTACCTCAGCCATGAACTCCATTGTTTCCTTATGGATCTTATCTGCCCACAGCATGAGCGCATTGTTTGACGGATCTGACCCGCGCAAGCGCTGGAACTCTGCTTCAATTTTGTCAAAGGACGCTCTCAAAAAAGTGAACTTCCCACCAGCATGCACCCAGTCGTTTGTTTCGGTGTCCACGGGGCGTGAGTTATTGTCGCGGCGGCTACAGAACCCTTGTCAGCGGAAAGACCCTCGCTTGTGGTAATCCAGGTGATCGGTCACTTACCCATCCGTCCGTGCGAGCGGCAGCAGCTCCCAAAGGGCACGATTGTCATTAGGGCGGACTTGGGTCGGGCTCATCGGTAGTCTGTGCCGGCGATTGACTGCAAGGGCACTCTCCTAAAAGTCGCGCGGATCAGAATGATTGTAAGGCACGGACAGACAGACGATGACTTACACTCATTGTTTTCTGTTTGAAGCAGCCCGAGCACAATCGAACTTGAAATGTCCAGTGAACCTTGAAAGTCCTGCCCAAGTGACAATCTTTGCTCTGACAGCCACGACCAGCCAAGAGCTCGACGTATTGCTTTTCTGTGAGTCCTCTGGGACATTCTGGCATGTCGGCGCCATAATGGTGAATTCTGCTATTTCTCCAGATGACGGAATTGTCTGAGAGGAGTTCATAGTGGAACCGACTGAGTGTTTTCAGTTCTAGCAGCAACTTGGGCTCACAAAAGCTGAAGACACCAGCCCAGACGTCGGTGTGGACGAGTTTGGAATTTTGTACCGGTCGACTGGGGAGGAAGACTTGTCTTTTGGGTTTTGCTTTTGCTTTTGCTTTCGCACGTGGTGCATCCAACGAAAGGCCTGGTATGTCAACGGGTGAGGGTCCAGGGCTTCCCACAAACGAATGAGTCTGGTTCCGGTCGATGGTAGGGCGTTGACCTTCCTGCATGCTCTCGACAGTGGAGTGGATGAAGATCACGGGGCGGGCTGGAGTGGTTGCGGTTGAGCCTGAGATTAAGCCGAAAGTCATCCCTGGCAGTGCTGACGGTCCGACCTGATACCTAGAGGACATTGATTCGATGGAGTGCATCTCCTGAAACTGCCTTGCTGGAAAACGATGGCCAAGAGCCTGGGAGGGCAAACTGCCAAATTCGCCAGACTGTGCTGTCAAATTGTCATGTTTGCGTTTTCCCAGGACTGAGGTGGCAGATGAGGACATGGGGGCAAAAGGAGCAGCAGGGATAGAGAAAGGAGGAGGATAGTATGGATTCATGGCTGGAAGGGGTTCAAGAAGAAGATTTGGAATGGTCAGCTAGGAAAGAAGCAGTGATGGTGATGGCGATGGTGATAGTGATGGAGATGGAGACGAATCGAGGGTAACTGAGGCAGGTAAAGTGAAAACACCGTCGTGGGGCTCAGTGTCCCATGCCCTAACGCCGAGCACTCTCCTTTCAGTCTACTGTCGTGCGTTGAGGCGCGCGGTGCAGCCATGGACTCTTATTGTCTGTGATCGGGCGCGGGCGCGGTCATTGACTTGTGGTGGTTGATAATGAGTGTCTCCCCAAAATGGCGACGAGGAGAAACCAGACAAGTTGGAAGTTGTACGTTGGACGTCGGACGCCCAATCGCCGGACAGTTGGGACTGCCACGCTTGCCCAGACGGCAGCTAAGCCCATTCCAGGCCTACGATGACCTTGGTGGTTTATTCTAGGGGATGGGCAATTGCCTCTGACGTTTCTTTTACTCTGGGAGGAGACGTGGGGGCGTCGAGGGCAGCAACTGATCTCTATTGGCAGCTAGCCAGAGCACCTCGGCAATTGAGCTCACCAGACTTCATACCTATAACAGCCACCGACCGGGCCTAGCGATACCTAGGTAGGCATCGGCCGGCACACCAGAGGACCTGATAGCAAAAGGCCCATGATCTCCCTCTTCCCGGCTCAACCCGCACCGCATCGTATTGGAACTTCTAGAACAGCGCCACAGCCAACGCCATCACCACCACACAACTATCTGCATCTGCATCTATTCGAACAAGAGCGCAAATATTTCCGCAGTGGCGACTCAGACGTTGACCCTGAGAACCAACCATCAGTTGTCTATCCACTTCCTATCGGGAGCCACGGCCAACTTATGACCAAAGCCGCATAACGCACAGACCCAGAATGGGATTATCTCAAGAGGAGGAGGAGAGAAACACGAGATACTCGGTGCATATACCCATAGGAGGAGCTACAAGACTGAAATCCGACCTGGAATCCTGCAGGTTGAGCTTACCGGGCATAACCACGAGTGCCACGCCACCTCATCCTCGTCCTCGCTTTCTACCATCCCCCAAGTACAAGGTACTCGTCCTTTCTGCGACCTCATTCATCGACTATCCCTCACTCCCCCGGGCTTATCGGTCTGTCGCCCGTACATTTGGCATCGGTTACTTGCTCCAGCATGCGGGGCAGACGCCACTGCTAAGCTTGTTTAAGCATATCGGGCGGTTCTCTCTCCACGGCCCCTAGGGTTTAGGTCGCTCCAAGCAACCATTGCTTGAATTCCCCAGCCTATAGCTCGTCGGTTGGCCAAGTCAAGTTGCCAAGTCGCCCACAGGAACCACTCGAACCCAGTTCTTCAATGTTACATCCATGCCATTTCCACAACAAGATCTGCTGCAAACTGCCCTCTGTCTGGCAGCCACCTCTACTCTGCTCAACCCCACCGCCCAAACTCAGTGGGAGGTCCAGAGAAAATGTCTGCACACACCATCACAAGGATTGCCACTCGCTTCGGACAAAGCTCCTGTTCCAGTCCCCGGCGGCTACCAACCCCGGCATTCGCAGGGCTCCTGGTGACTCTACAAAGAGACCCGCAGTCCTCCTAGAGACGCACTTTGATCTTCTTCTTCCCCCGGATTTTCGTCATTGCATCTCTTACTCCAAGAAGCCATTATTCTCGCCGCCATCATGCGCTTCGATATCGACGGATCCGGTAGGTCAGCTTGTATTGCCAATTCGCCTCCCAACTAATCCCTCATTCAGATGAAAAGGCTCAGCATGCCTACAACGATGCGCATGGCACGGGTGAAAACCAGCTGGGCTATGATCCAGATCTGGCTCATCCAGCTGCCGGATACAGAGACGGCGAAGTCGCTGTGTTACCGCCTGGAGTCTCGGAGCGGAGACTCATAACCAAGATTGATCTACGCATCATTCCCGTTCTCTCAGTCATGTACCTTTTGGCTTTCCTGGATCGCACCAATGTCGCCAATGCCGCCATCTTTGGCCTTCAAAAGGATCTTGGGCTGAGCGGCACTCAGTACAGCACAGCCCTGACCATCTTCTTTGTCCCCTACGTAGTCTTTGAGATCCCATCCAACATCATCCTCAAGAGACTGCGGCCTCATGTTTGGCTGTCCATCTGCATGTTTGGCTTTGGCCTGGTCACTATTTGTCAAGGTCTAGTTCAAGGGTATGGCGGTTTTCTCACCACCAGATTCTTCCTTGGCTTCTTCGAAACTGGCATGTTTCCCGGTGAGTGATGTTTCATTTCCAGTGTCCGAGGCCATGCATCTAACAGACACCAAGGAGCATTCTATCTCATTGGCATGTGGTATAAGAGACACGAAGCACAGAAGAGATATACATTCTTCTTTGCCAGCACTACGCTCGCTGGCGCTTTCGGTGGCTTGCTCGCTTCGGCCATTGGGAAAATGAACGGCATGGAAGGGTATCTGGGTTGGAGATGGGTTTTCATCTTGGAAGGCTGTTTGACCTGTGTCGTCTCCTTTGTCTGGTTCTTCGCCATCCCCGACTTTCCCGAAGACGCGAAATGGGTGACTGAACCTGAGCGAGAGTATATCAAGGCTCGGCTCCGAGATGATCAAGGGAACTCGGCTCTCGACCGACGCATCACCGTCAAGGATGTCATCAACTGCTTCAAAGACTACAAGATTATCGTGGGAGGCTTCATGTATTTTGGTTTGATTGTGCCTGGTAGGTTCATCCGATTTTGTTTTTCAAACGATGGATAACTGACAGGTGTTGCAGCCTACAGTTACGCTTACTTTGCTCCGACCATCATCAAGACGTACGGATACAGCGCCATTGGAACCCAACTGCACTCTGTCCCACCGTGGGCTGCGGCCTTTGGTTGGAGCATGCTCATTGCTGCGCTTTCGGATCGCTTTCGCCACCGGTTTGTGTTTGCTATGGTGAATATTTTCATTGCCATTGCAGGCTTTGCCATACTTATGACTGAGCATCACAATACGGATTTGGATTATGGTGCCCTGTTTATGATCACCTCGGGAACATACAGTGCCATGCCAGTTATTGTGTGCTGGTTCTCGATGAACCTGGGTGGTCACCACCGCCGCGCGGTGGGCACAGCGTGGCAGATTGGGTTTGGCAACATTGGAGGTGAGTTATGTCTTCTTTATTATGCTGAGGAAATATTAATCCTTCTTGATAGGCATCATTGCCAGTTACAGCTTCGAAGCCACTGACGCCAAAAGCTTCTTCCACAAAGGCTACAGCATCTGTATGGGATTCATTTGCCTCAGCGGCGCCTCGTGCATCATCTACTATCTCGCTTGTCTGACCCAGAATCGGAAACGCGAGAAGACGCACGACATTGGACTGACAGAGTACGAGAAGACAGAACTGGGTGATATGAGTCCCGACTACCGCTACATGCTATAGCCGCATTACAAAAGGCACGGCCATCTTCTGTGTCATGCCGAAAAGAAGACGACGATACATGGCGAACTGGTTAGATATTCAGCCCAGTGAGATGGACAGGTCGACAAGACAAGCAGTGTTGCCAGCAGAAACCAGGGTCGAGATGTGTGTAGTGACACAAATGTCCTTGATGCGCCTGTGCAGGTACTCTAGACATCGCGCAGTCAGAGGAGATGTGGGGGAAGAACGATGTACCTCGTACCACGTACTGTATGCCATATCACGGAACGTCTTCCGCTTCCATCTCTGTCCATTTTGTTTGGTCTTCCGTACCCTCCGGTTCAAAAAATGAGTGAGTACGTCTAATTCGAGTACTTACGTGTACCCCGTACATATCTAGGTACCTAAATACTGACTGCACTAACTCACAAGTACGGGTTCGAGTATCATTCGCGAGGGGATCTACGTAGAAAAGGTAACGACTGCACAAGTACGGTTACTTTGAATTCATTGTGCGCAGTGTGACTTTTTGTGTCACGTACATTCTCGGTACATACCTACTAGTAGGTAGTACATACGTACGTACGTACGTACGGATGGGGCACAAAGATTTACTCGGTATGGCTCACCGCGAGTCGGAGAAAATTCGGAGGCGCACGCTCTCTCTTCGTCCGGTTACTTGTCCTTGTTTGTCCCTATACATGTACGAGCAGACGAAGGACTTGGACTTGTCGATGTAGGCGTAGATGGAAACATCCCGCACAAAGCCACTACAAGGACCGAGTAGCCAAAGCCGCTCTTCTCGCGTTGCGGGCTAATTCCAGATCTGCCATCCCCGGGAGTTGAAAAAGTCACACTGCGCCGCCGCATCGGGATCGCGCGTCGCGCTGATACTGTTGTACGTGACAGCCTGGATCGTGAAGCCGACACCTTCACCATTGGCCGTCGTTCCCGGCGCTCCCGAGATATAACTCGGCCAATACGGCGCGCCGGCAGTGCGCAAGGGGTTCGGGTCGTGGAAGACGGTGAAGCTCACCCAGTAGCTGGTCATGATATGCGCCAGGGTCAGGTTGTTCGCGCCGGGGTAGTTGGTCACATTGGACGAGATGAACGGATTGGTCGCGCCATGGAGCTCGCTTCCGGCGGCGAACGTCAGCTTAAACACTGCAGAGTTGTTGGAAAGCGAGTCAACCATGGACGAAGCCATGTAGTATGTCGGGCAATTGATGATAAAGTCCCCGAACCAGGTCTGCCGCTGGTAGAAGGTGCTGTTGAAGTCGCTGCGAGGATAGAGCGAGTAGAGACGCGAGAAAAATGACGGTCCGGCCGAGGGAAAGAGGTCTTTGGCCTATTGTTTGGAGGTTCCTTGTCAGCAGCCGCATAGAAACACAACGGACGCGGTCGACTGGAACTCACATCAATCGTTTCGTCCACCTGCGACGTTTGGGTCATGTTCGAGAAGGTATATCCTTCAAAAGCATCGCGGTTGGTGATCAAGGGCACCTTGTAGAAGTTGCCCTTTGCAAATTCTTGGTCAGGCAGATCGCGGATAAACTTCCCATCCACCACTGGCCCCCAGTAGTAGACACCATATGCATTGTCGGGCCCCGGGTACGTTGCATTTATCACTGCCTGGTTCAGGTTTCCCAGCGTAGTAGAAGACAGTCCTCGAAGGCAATTGATGTCCGTGCAGTTTGACAGCTTCAGAGCTGTATTGAATTGGGTGTTCTGGGTGCTCTTGTTGGCAAAGGGTTGCCACCAGGGATGATCTGCGATTGCGGCCGCGAAAGGAGGGAAATCGGAACCACTATTGGCGATGAGCTGACATGATACGCTGCCTCCACCTGCCGAGCCTCCCCAAATGGTGACACGCCCTGGATCACCACCGAAGGCACGGATGTTCCGCTGGACCCAGTCCATGGCAGCTCGCTGATCAAGCAGACCGGCGTTCAGCGCACCATTCTCAGCAATGGTGTCTCCGCCCATGAATCCGAACATTCCCAGACGATATTGAATACCCACGAAGATGATGTTGCCGTCAGACCGATTGACCAGGGCATCTCCTGGATAAGAGAACGGAGCGCTGCCCCCAACGTAGCCACCGCCATGTATGCTAATTTGGCGTATTCAGTGTTAAAAGTTTGAGTAGGAACGCAGGGAGGGGGGATATTTTGGACCTCTTCCAAGCCTGGCATACCTCTAGAGATAGCCTGGCATGCTCTAATTGTGGATAGGTGGTTCAAAGAGATACTACTTACGTAAAGAGTACAGGCAAGGCTGTTGAGACAGGCTTGGACGGCACGAGCACATCGAGGAGCAGACAATCCTCTGACTGCCCCTGTGGAGCCGAAGGAGTAGCATAAGTAGACCTCGCAGACGACTGATAGCATGCCGGGCCAAGGGTCGAAGCATTGATGGTCTGGCCGTTATAGTTGTTCATAGACTCAATTGGCACAGGTTTCGCCCAGCGCAGTTCACCTGTAGGGGCGGCAGCATAACGGATGCCACGGTAGTAGTTGATGCCTGCGGTGGCATTCTGATGGCCACTGTATTTCACATACCCGAGATCGATGACAGGGACGTTTGAGGACGAATTCTGAGCCTTTGTAAAAGTGCTGAGGAGAAGCAAAGCCGCAGCTCCAACGACAGGGGATTTCATGACTAGTCGCTATGAACTCACGTCTAGGTCAACCTTTTGGATAGGCCAGAAAATGTAGGATCACCGTGTAGACGAAAATCGCCCCTCTCCTTCAAAGTCGCCGTTTTATGTGGTGTCAGGACTCGAGCTTCAGGCGGAATTCGTCGAAGCCACGGCGGGGAAGCACCTCAGAGCTGGCTTCATGGTCACGGCATTATTCTCCACCAACCTTCCACCAGCCCGTCCTGCAGGTCAAGTCACCAGATACAATTTTCCCAGCATGGAGATCCAAAGTTTGCGGTTCCTCGCAAATGAAGTGTACAAGGATGGTGCCGCCGGAAACGAAATGGGGAAATTCTGGGGTAACGCATTGACCTCATAGTCGGAATGTGGCCGGACGAAGCCGTCATTGGAGGGCGCAAGAGGAGTAACACAGCCGGGCCAATTCTGCCTAATTCATAAGATTCATGGTATTGGTGCCAGCCTCATTGCTCAGGATCGACCGGGAAGCGGCATTTGGTAGACTTTGATTGAATGGGCACGAGATTGTTCCTCGTACACCGCTCGGCTATTGTTCCGCATCGACGAGAGGGGTCTCGCCTGGAGGTGGGAGGTGACATCCGTATCCTTTTGTCCTGGATGTCAGGATATATTGTCCTGTTGTCCTTTGTCCCCCGAAATCAAGAATGGTGGTATATTTAGGTGAGGTCGGGTTAGGGTGGGGCGGACTTGACCTTTAGACATTGGAGTGACATCACGAAGGCCGGTATTGGCCCATGAAGGCTAGATAACAATGAAAAGGGATGGCATTGGATAGATATTGGCTTGATGGTGGATAATAATGATAGTTAGATTTACAGGTAACTCGCCTGGTCGGGTGCCTGATGCCTGGAGACATGGAACAACATTAATCCGTGAATATCCTGCATCCGGCAAGTCGGCCGACCAGTTCAACAGTGGTGACTTGACTCTTGATCACCTGCACCGAACTGACAACATGCCCTGATCAACGATTATTCAGATTGCAGAACTCCCCCCCTGCACCAATTCAAGCAAACCCAGACTTCTAGTGCATCTTTCTCCTTTTCTTACGTACTCGTGGCCATTATCGCTCTCCAAGCCGTCGGCTCGAAACCCCCTGCACACATTCGCCTCCCCCACCTCCCGCATGAACCAACGTGCCAACCTCCGGAATCCCGAAGGTTGCCCACTATTTTGTTGCTGATACCTGCAAGAGGTCAGTGTGTGGGGTTTCCAAGGGTAAAGGCAGATTTCTTCTTGCAAGTTTACCTTTGAAACGGGACAACCGACGTTATGCCAACGGCTGCTTCTTCTCATAGCTGTGCTTTCACCACCGGTGCTTTGACGAGACCGAGTGTAAGACTGCTCTGCTTGTCCAGCCATTCGAGAAGGCGGCGATCTGGTTGTTGAGTTTCAACATGAACCCTCAATGCCGTCCATGGATCTGCTCGAATCGACAATTCCAGGTATGCGTTCAGTGGCGCGTGTTCTTGTGTTTCTTTTGCTGCAAACAACGTTAGCCACAGGGTCGGTCCTTGATGGTGTGCATACCCTCGTCACAACCCATTTGGCCGGGCATCTTTTATGCACTCAGAGTGGAAGGTTTTGAGGCGCCTCTCCCAGTACTGGACTGGTTACTGGCCGTGGTTTGCAACTTGATGATATGTGTATCACCAACAAGAGCTTGCGCGATTTCTACCTGTTCCGTCCTAATATTGCTTTTGACTGAAACCAGCAGGAAAAAAGTGTAAGCACCTCGGCAGCACGGGTCTTGACCGACTAATATGTGTTTCAACATATTGGCCATTCATCTCATCTTCATGTCGGGCGCGGTGGCAGGGCTCACCTCACCGAAATTGTTTCGCTACTCCAATCGACGACAAAGCCAGCAGCACTCATTGGACGCACGAGTGTGGCCGGGTGGGTATCGTGAACACCGCCTGAGGTGCAAATACCCTCATCATTTGACCAGCAACGGTAAGTCGTCAACGTGGCGAGGTGTCGACCAAACACGCGCTGGTGGACTCAAGCGCCTCCTGGGTACAATCACCAACAGCAATAGCAGAATGTGATATCAAACCGGTGGACGCGACGTATTCGGTCGTGCTGATACATTGAAAACTCCTGGTCTCAGGCACTTCGGGAGATTGCATAATTTTGACTGCCTGAAGTGATGCTGCAAGAGAAATGACAACGTTCACAAGAAATTGACCCAAAGACGACAATGATAACGAATTCCAATGATTTGATCAGAGAGTCCAAGCGAGTTGCGGTCCAAAAACAGGTTCGGGGATGGTTTCTTCATGCACTGCTGCGGATAAGGCACACACAAGTGACCAATTCCACCTCATGCTCGTTGGGCCACGTCTCCGCAGGCTGAACAGCTGACCTCTTCGGACAGAGAAACCCCTCCCGGCAGAGGCTCAAGTCACGTGGTGTGCACCTCACAACTTGTCGCAACCACAGTGCGATAGACACATCCTGGAGAAGACTAGCAAGCGAGAGCAGGGGTAGAGGAGATAGTATGCGTCTATATCCACCGGCGTGGGTGACGACAGATAGACGACGAACTCTGGACGAACCGTGCTGTCAGATGAGTCACAAGGCGAGGGTAACAGAGCGCTTCATTTCTGGGCACGCCGCACAGTAGGCTTTGATCGGCCACCAGGACTCTACGAACCGGACCGACCCAGAAGCTATCGATATAGGTAGGGATTCAGCTCCCATGTCAGTGGCTATTTCTTCTCCGAACCGACCATATTACCTCGCAAAGAAGGTCCTCAAGTATCTGTACCGTGAATATCTCGCATGACCAAGGCACAGACACAGACATAGGGCCAGATCCCACCCATCACCGGGGGTCTTTTGCTAGGTTCTAGTTTTGACGCGGTGCTTTGAGCAGCAGTGTCAAGTGTCTACCATGCAATGCAGAAACCATCGTGGTCTTATCCTCGTGGAGTGGAGGACTAAAAAGCGTCTCACTCTCTCTTCAAAGAGCGAGTGGACAGGAAGGGAGTGGCGAATGGGGTTTTCCCCTAAGGAATGTACACCAGTATCTCAAGATGCCGCACGTGCTACTTTACTTGTACACCACAGTGACCACATCAATGGCAATCGCGATAGTCAGTCAGAAGCCCCCCAGGTCTGGCTTGTTACCCAATTTACCAACCCGATGTGTCGCGTCGTTGATGGCCTGGCATGCGCCCCGAAACCGTGTGAACCGTAAAGCGAATGAACTGAGTTTCTGTGTTCCCCTCGGGACTGATTGATGGTCAGGACTCGAAAGGGGCGTGTCAACTTGATAGCTCATGGATTCCAAGCACCAGAGGTAATTGATCGTCCCGATTCTGCACACACACACAGCCCGACTGGGACAGCCCCCAGCCGACCTGCTTAGTGGGTTGCCAAGTTGCTGAGTGGCTGCAGTAGCTGCAGTAGCTGTGTAGCCAGGGCTGAGGCTGAGGCTGAGGCTGAGCTCTTTCTCAAGTCCCTGTCGAAAAGACCTGCTTCACGAGCATCTTCTTGTTGATTTTGCCCATGGCATTGCGCGGAATGTGCTCGACGACCTTCAACTCCTGTGGAATCTTGTAATTGGCCAATTTATCCTTGAGGGCCCTGCGCATGTCCATGGCCCCCCATTGCTTGCCGCCCCGGCCGCCGCTCTTCCCTTTGTCATTCAGAACCACGACTGCGGCGACCTTTTGGCCCCATTGTTCGCTGGGGATGCCAACCACGGCGGCTTCCGCAATTTCTGGCAGCGAGAGGAGTTCTCGTTCGATTTCCAGGGCCGACACTTTTTCGCCGCCCGTTTTGATGATGTCGATGGATTTGCGGCCTCGGATGAAGTACATGGGCCCACGGGCCCAGGCTTGCTCGGGTGACGTTCCCGTTCCCGGGACGAGTGTGCGGATCGCCACGTCGCCCGTCTTGAACCAATTGCCTTTTCCGTTCTCAGACTCGACAAACTCTGGCGCCGTGGCAGACGGGTTGCGGAAGTACTCCTTGAACACCGTAGGGCCACGGAGTTGGATTTCCCCTTCTCGCGGCTGGCCCCTTTCGTCCATTTCTTCGCCGGGCTTTATGACCGTGTCTGTCTCAGTGTCAACGAGACGTATCTCGACTCCTGGCAACGGCCACCCAACTGAACCGTCTACCCGGTCCTCAAACGCCAGTCCACAAGATAGCGCCATGCCGACCTCGGTCATCCCGTAGCGCTCCAGAAGGACATTGCCGCCAGAGAGCTCCGTCCAAGCCTTTTTGGTCGGTGTAGGAAGGGCCGCGGACCCGGAAATGTTCAGTCGAAGGTGGCGGGGATTGATCGCCGCGCGGGTTGCGGTCTGCAGTTCTGGGGAAAGGGAGGAGTGAGTTGCCAGCAGTCGGTTGTATATCGTCGGGACACAGGTAAGGAAAGTTATCGGCCTTTTCCTTTGGTCTGTCGAGAGCGAGGAAGGGTCAGGGAGAAACGGTGCAGCCAGACGCTTCCACACAGTCTCTGCATTGAACGGGTACGCGAACTCGATCGCAGAGCCAGCCATCAAAGGAGTATACAAGGCGTTGATAGTCCCGTGAATATGATGTAGTGGGAGAACGTGGAGGAGCAGGTCTGAGGGGGTGTATTTCCATGCTTCGATCAGAGAACTAGCCTGTGCCGCCATGTTTGCGGTAGACAGCACCACACCCTTGGGGCGACTGGTGGTCCCGGAGGTGTAGAGCATGAACCCGCCATTCTCAATAGTGTCGGAGTCATCCAACTTGACATGTTCGGTGGAGAACGCAGCCCCGGTCTCGATTTTGGAGAGGATCTCCAGTCTTGGGACATGGTTGAGTCCTTCTTTCACCACCTCTTGTGCCTTGTGTGAGAATTTCTCCGTCGAGAGGAACAGGGCGGCCTCGCTGTTCTCGAGGATGTACCGCAGCTCGGAGCTGGGATGGGTATGTGCCAAGGGGAGGGCGATTGCATCGTGCGCGAGGATCGCGAGGAACGTCACTTTTTAGAGCAAGGTCTTCGTCAGCATTCTGCAGCACCAGCAGCACAGCAAGGGAATTTCCAAGGGCACTGGCTCTAGTCTAGTCAGGTCTGGTATGGTATGGTCGCGCACCCACATAATCATAACCGTTTTCCGCCAGAAAAGCGATCCTCTCCCCGGCCAGAGGGGATTTTCTTCCCGCGGCGGAGAGAGCGGCAATCCTGTCCTTTGCGGCAGCAACATCGCGTAGGAGACTGCCGTAGCTGAAGGTCCGGTCTGAGGCACTGTGTATTATCGCAGGGGATTCCGGGTCATGGCTCGCAATGGCCGCGAAGATCGTGGACGAGGGGAGAGCGGACGTCGAAGTTGACGACGACAACGCCCTCCTGACAGAAAATCCTAGGGAATTCTGGCATAGCGTAGAGGTGAATGTGAAGGGGTTTGGGAGCGCTGGCCGGTGCCGCGACGACCCTGATCCAGCTCCTGCTCCTATACGGCCAGCAGCCCTGCAGAGCTGAGTGGTCGCCGCAGTGAAGAAGCGACAGGTCGGAGGGGTAGCAACCATCCCGCAACCATTGTCGATTGTTGCCTCGCTCACACGAAAATATCAGGCTTGAGCAACGGTGTTCGAACTGACCGAAGACGAGATGTGGAAGAAGAAGAACTATGACTCGTGTTGACAAAGAGACGATGTATTAGAAAATGCTAAAGCTCAAAATTGCATGTTAACAGTTACTCCGCATGGGCCCGCAGGACTCAAATTTCTCATGGCCGGAGCCTCGTGCTTTCATGACCCGCGTGTGCCTCGTCAATACTGTTCTTCTGTGTATCACATACGACCTTTCAATTTCAGCACATGGTTCCCTTCATCACATCTCATCCACGATCTCGAATTTGACAAGGATCGAGCATCTGGTCTCTCTTCCCTTCAAGTCCAGCATGCGGATAAAATTCCAGCCCGGAGCTACGTACAGCAACCTCACCGCAGCCACAGCAAAGATGGGGTTGATGGCAAAACTATCATCGCTCTTGATGAGCATGCGGAGGAACACTAGCTCATTGTCGTCGTAGTCCCATAGCAACGTCTCGTCCCAGATAGGATCTGTGGGCGGAGGATTCTCACCTCTATGCAGCAGCCCGAGTTTGTGTTGCCTGTAATGTGCCGTCTTGCGCTTTGGCGCGTCATCCTCATCGATGTCAGGGTGGTAGAGTTTGCAGGTCAAGTATGGCTTGATATCGCCAGGTTCTCGCCCCTCTGGTACAGGTATATCTGTGGCTCCTGCAACATGCAGGCGGAGTATCTTCCTCTTCCCGGTGTTGAGTCGGCCAGATCCGCCGGCCCGCAAAGCCGCTGGCTTCAAAACATATCCATCTGTGCCGCTGAACAGCGCTTCATTCAGCTGTATGCTAGCCCCAAATGTCTGCCAGTTGAGGGCACAGACTTGCGCTCCGATACCCCAGAACTGCACCGGCTTGAGGTTTCGGGATGAGATCCGCGTCCCTTTGGGATACACCCGCATTAGATGTCGGGCGTTATGGCGAGCAATTTTGTCGTTCTCGGCGGGCATATGGTCCTTTAGACCACTCTCAGAGACATTGATAAGGTGATGATGAGGTCCGTCCTTGAGCCCGGCTTCACCATACCAAGAATTGTCGCGCGGTTTCACTGATTGAGCGTACACACCTAACTCTGCCAGCTCAGGGATGATGACGGTGGGTGCAGCCTTCTTCTTGTCCTTGTAAGCCTTCTTCGCCTGTCTCGTTTCTTCATCCTCGTCGTCCGAGTTGGAGCTCTCCTCTTCACTTTTGGGTTCGTTGGGAAAGTGGTATTCGACAATGACGACTATTTTTGACCCAAGCTCTTCGAGAGTCACTTGGTCGTCAGACCCTTGCTGCTCCTCGTGCCCTTTTTGCCTGACAGCCTTGCTCAGCAGTCGGTCGCCCCATACCTCTTTCATGATCTCGACGAGACGCCGTTGACCGTGTGCGTCGCAATGGTTCTCCAAAGATAGGAGGATTGGAGATGCTCTGCAGTCTGGATGAGATGGCGCCTGACGGGCTTCCTCGTCCATGACATCACGAATCGTTTCACATACGGCGCGGAATGAGATATTAGAGACAAGCGTGTAGCCATGCGTGACCTTTGGCTCGTCCTTGTTTTCCTCATCGTCCCACGCATCGATCTCCACGCAGCGCGATCCCGTTCTAAGAGCAGTCCTGTAGGCATCGGCAGAAGAATTGCCGTAAAGCTGGTGAGCCACCAAGTAGGTGTTGTGACTCGAACTGATAAAGTATTCGGACAACGGACGAGACCGATCTGTTATGTACGACGGGACGTTTATATGCGGCTTGTTGAGGAGGGCGTGCAGTGCCTCGGTCACTGTGTCTGGATTGTCTAGAGCGGCCTCTTCCTCTGAGAGAACATGGTGTTTGACCAGGAACGCCTTGAGAGCATGGCTGACTCGGAGTTGATGCTTGGTGATGTTGGTTTCGCGGGAGCCATGACCGCCGCCAGCAACCGTCGAGGCATCAATGACTTCGCCGGCGTCCTCATTGTCGACTTTGCCATTCTTCTTGGAAAATGGGTTTAGCTTGGCCATGTGTGAAGCAAGGTGCGCTGAAGCTGAATCGGCCATGATGGACAAGGTAGCGACGACCTCAACTTGGGGGAACACAGAGTAAATCGACCAGCCGTGGTGTCAAGGGGTTTTGTTCTTTGTGTTAACGTCGCAATACGAGTAGAGAGGGACCAAGTCGACCAGCTTGGCCCACGTCAACAAATAAGCTTCCAGGCGACGCGGCTGAAAGTCTGAGGTGGACAAGAAGGAAGCAGAAGGATGCTCGGCTACTCTAGTTGTATATTAGTCTTGTAAGCAACTTGTTACACGGGCCACACAAGATCTCGCTGTACTCGTATACCTGGTTCCCATATCTTGTTTCTGAATCCTGTAGGCGCTTCTGACAGCCGCTTACACTAGCTCCTCAAGGGATCTTTTTGCCCCCAAATGCAGGTCATCAAGTGAGGTCGCAGAATAAGCCTCGTAAACTGCGCTTAGTGATGTAACGCCCCAGCGTATAAATATCCATTCATCATCATCTACTTGACCGCAGTCTGCATCTTTGACTGCAATCATCAAAATCCCTCCATCCCTTCAATCTCTGGTGTGCGTGCGCCAAAATCCATCCCCTCGAAAAGCCATCCAGTCAGTGGCCAAATGAGGCGCTATGTAACTGCTGGCACCTTGTTTTGCCGTGCAGTATCGACGAGAAGGATGGCGAGCAGCTCCATCACGCCCGTGGAGGACGCGATCCGAAGAAAGGTGAGCTGAGAAGAAGCGAAAGAAAGCCATGGCGTTTCCGCCCCGTTTCAGGACACATCTATCTATCTGCCCTGTTCTTGAACATACCCAGTCAATTTGCTTTGGTACGGTGTCTAACCTTGGCGACAGGTGGCAGAGGCTTTGAACCCCACAAGCCTCACCATTCGAAACGACTCTCATCTTCATTCCCACCACAAGGCCATGGTAGGCTCGACTTCAAAGGAAACGCACTTCTTGTAAGTGAATGGCCTGTTTGTCTTCGTCCCTTTCCCGGCCACTGGCGCGTGTGCTCTTCACCATGATCTTGGGGTTCTCGGGCGTCGCAGCCTCGTGTGATAGGATCGGAGTCATATCATCTTCAGATCCCCTTCTCCTCCTCAGGCTCTGCGGAAACTTCCCCCACATTATGCTTCTTCTAAACTACTAACACAAAGGCTAGTCTGGACATCACCTCTCCGTCATTCCAAGCGAAGCCGCAACCGGCGCGGCACAGGATGATCTACTCACTGCTGAAAGAGGAGCTCGATCGGCCCGGCGGAATCCACGCTCTCCAGCTTCGGACTAAGACGCCGGAGGAGGTGGAGAGGGAGCTCGCGAGGAAAAAGGACGCACAGGGCGCCGCGTGAGTGCTAAACTTGCAGTACAGACTACGTATGCATATATATGTAGGGTTCCAGAGACGCTTGTCTTCTAAGATCCTACGGCACGACTCTGTCTGGATGGTCGAACTCTATACCCCCACGTAAAGGAGACATGCGCCATACCGATTGACAAAGAGCCGCGAAAATCAATCGCGCTACATGGCATTTAACCTTGTAATGCGCCGCGAGCAAGTGTCGATGTGGTGGACCGTAGAAACGAGAAACCGAGCTACAAAACTGAATACACAATCAATCCTGCTTCTGCTGCATCTGGGTAGAAGAATGAATCCGACAATACCGTCCAAAACAAGTTGAAAGGAATTATTAGTGGGTAGTGTGTGTATCTAATTGGGCGTTCTGATGCTGTACAATGTCAATCCTTGCCAACCAGCCCAGGATCCCCTCCACCACCAAAAGGGATCGAAAACAGACAAAATGAACACTTTTGCGCCGGCTTTTCTGCGAAAACATAGGAAATTCTGAAACCTCTCCCTGCCACCATCCCCCGCCCGCTCTATCGCGCTCTGATCTTCCTCACAATGCGAGTTGTGTCAACTCTCGGGCGATCCAAAAACACACAAAAAGAAAAAGGTACCTTGTGGTCTGCTTCACCAACAATAGATGCTGTCCACCTTTCGTGGACATGAAGACAAATGTAAGTAAACCTGCAAGAACCAATTGCAACGCGGAGCTGCCAGTTCCAGATATTTCACGATTCTCGCCAGCGATTGAACATGGTTTTGTGTGTTCAGGACGGTGGAGGACTGTTGTCACCGCCTTCCTAATTTTTCGTCACCGTAACTGCCACCGCCACGACCACAACAATAATGATGATAATGAGGACTGGGCACAAGTTAGCATGTTCCCGCCAGTAGAACCCGAATAACACTCACCGACAATGCCTAAGCACATCCACTTCTTGCGGCGGGCAGCTCGGGCCTTGACGACCGCGCCCTCGAGCTCAACATTTGCCTTGGACACATGTTCTGCGACTTGCTCGCCTTGCTCCTCGATCTGGGTGACCGCGGGCTCTTGCTGCACCACCAGTGCCTCGAGGTCTTGGAAGAGCTGGGCAAGTTCAATCATCTGTCGTTCAATCTTCTGGATATCTTCGTGACGTTGCGAGACGTTTCGTGCGACAGACTGTGCTTCACCGCGTCGGTCACTCTGAATCAAGGCAGAAGAAAAGATTTGTTGGTTATTTGGATCTTCGACAGCTTCGCGCACTTCCGCGTCTGAAGCGTCGGGGCGGACGATCCGATATTGTCTCGCCATCTGTTCTTGAGACGCTTTCCGGAATTCGCGCTCAACTTGTTGGTACTGATTGATCGCAGTCTTCAGCCTTCGATCAATTTTGCCCACTTGGGGAGCATTGCGCGGGTTCCCGGACTCCGGTTGCTGCTTGATATTCTTGACGCGGCTGACGAGACCACGGTACTTTGTCATGATCGTTTCTCCCGTCCGATCAACCTCCACGCGCAACGGCGATTGGGCAGATGTATTTGTGTCTGCGAGGTATCGTGCTTGGAGGCCCTTGAGACGCTGTAGATCTGCCTCGATTTCATCGATAGCTTGATCGACAGCCCGGCATTCATTTAGAATCCGGTTCGGGTCGGCGCCGTTCATGTTTCTCATTTCTGAAAAGCGTATATTAGCCAGCAGCCACAGAAGGGTATCGTCGAGCTTTGTGTACCGTAACCGCCTTGCCGCTGTTCATCTTGAGCATAATAGCTGCTCCCTTGTTGCTGGGGCTCGGGGCGTTCACTATAGTTTCCCTGATTGCCATATGCTTCATTGCCATTGCCCCCCTGAGCGTAGGGATTGCCTGCTTGTCCGTAGGGATTATAGGTGCCATAACCCTGGCCGCCTTGCTGGTAGTTCTAATCGGAGCGATGCGGCAGTCAGCAATAGCTCTCAATGGGGAAGCACAAGGCAATGGTTGTAGGATGTCTGTTGGCTGCGTTTCAGGAGTCGGGGCAAAGGGTGAAGCCAACCAACGACTCTCGGCATGGAAACAACGTACACTCATGATGCCTGGAAAGCGAGGCGTGTATTAAAAATCGTGTAGGTGAACAATAACGGTTCAATTGAGGGCTCCCAGTTAGCGCGGGAATGCGTCGAGCAGGAAACCTGTAGAGAAAGGAGGTTCACGCGCAAATGGCTTCTGTACGCGATACTGGAATGAAGAAGATGAGAAAGAAAGCAATACAAAGGAGGAGGATGGAAGTCTAAGATGGAGGTGGAATCAGCAGCGGCTGAATAGAAAATCTGAAAGAAGAAAGGATCTTGGGGTGTTTGGAAAGATGGCGGGCTGAGTGATCAGAGCTACGAGGAATCTGATCAGCTCGGGACGGAGTTGGGAGGGAAGGAAGCGGGCATGTGAGGGAGCGAGCTGCAGCGAGAGGAAGCCCCCTGCGGCCTTTAATTGTACGAATATTCCATAGGGGAGCCTAAAGTGCCCCTCGGACCCTACTAGCCCTACTAGAGGGAACTGCGCACAGGCTTCGTCCGGAAAGGTCTGGGCGCCCTTTTTCCCACGCCCTCCTCAAAGAAGCGCCTCTAGGCCTCGCGGCCTTGCGGCTTTGCGCTGTGACCTGCAGCTTTGTGTGGTGGAGCAGAAAAGGTGCGAAACCTTCATCTTCGACTGCGGCTGTGCCACTCCAACTGCTACCCGAACCATAACTCGTACAAGAATGCCTACACAAGAAACGTTCATCGTCGACGAGCACCATCATCACTGGATCGTCCCAAACGCAAGTCAGCGCTTGGCCCGTTCTACTTTACCTATTCCGACCTCGTCCCCGCTAAGATAATTAGATGGATTTTCGACACCTCGAAGACCTGGTAACCACTCTGACAAACCATAGCTCGCTAGAAGCCTTCACCCAATCAAGCCCACACCAATCTTACTTTAGTATGGGGAACGTTTTGCTCCTTCACCAGTGTCGCCAATTACGCCTCAGGTATCGGAAAAAGAGACGGATTCGCTCTGCGTGGGGATGGTCACATCAGATATTGTTTCAGCATTTGCTCGAGAGCCATAGCCATCCATGCCTACCACTCCTATACTCGGAAGACTTGTGGTGATTATGATTGTCGCCTTTGGGCCATGGTCGTCTTTCGGCAGCCACCATTGAGATGCCGGAGTAAATCTCACGTCGGCCCCCCCGTGATCCGCTGTGGCGTGAGAAAGGCACCGACATTTTGATTCCAGCTGCCTGGAGCGAAAATCCCATCTAGAAAGGGACTTTGAAGACCCCAATCACCACTGGTCAATGACAAGCTCTCCCGCCACAACCCCCACAAAGGTGCTAGAGCCTCGCCCCTCCGTCGATCCACAAGGGCTCCCAGGGGGCCGCAAGGCTGCGATATTTACGCCACTAGCATCGGCTGGCCCCAAAGCATCACCACCTCCTGGATTCATCACCTTCCCTCCATTCCTTCTCCGTGTAACCCAGACGGCGTTTGACATCTAGTACCGTTGCCTCGTCACCTGTGTTCTTGCCGATATTGTCGGATAACTTGATTGCTGGTCTACCACCTGCCTTTGACAATTTGATGACGATGTTCATTGGTTTGGATTTCGTTCCAGGGTCCGACTTGTGCCTAAAATCGTTCGTGAAGAATGTCCCGACTCCAAAAGAAGGCTTAAACCCGCACCCTTCTGCCAGCTCTCGATATTCGATGCATTTTTCCACGTTGAGAGAGTCTGAGAACACAATGCTCTTGTGGCTCAGCCCGATTGACTTGTAGAAGTCATCAGCGCGTTTGATGTATACTTTTGGGTCGCCAGAGTCCTGTCTGATGCCCGCAAAGACTTCAGCATAGTAAGGCTGATCATTTGCGGTGTGGTTCTCTTCGGTATACCCGGTCGAGTTATCCCGTGACGCCGACGTGCGTGCTGGTACTCGTTTCTTGAAAGCCTTGAAGAAGTCGGGCGTGCCGAAGGTATCCGTGAGTGCAATGCCCAGAACCCCCTTGCCGAAGCAGTCAAGCCAATACCGGAGGCCGTTTTCGTTGGCATTTTCGTAGTCATTGGTCAGTGCGGCAATGCCCATGTACCACTCGTGGGCCACTGTTCCGACAGGGGGGATGCTATACTTCATCGCAAAGTACACATTGCTTGTGCCCGATAGCTTTCCAGGTCGGTCCTTTTCATGTGAGGCCCGGACTAGACCTTTGATCACGAGGTCTTGGGTGTGGAAGTCGCGTCTTCTCCGAGAGCCGAATTCGGACACAACGCAGCCTGCGCTGAACAACTGCACTCCCTTCTCATATGCCTGTTCCTCTTGTCCCTGGTGGTCCCAGTCCTTGTCAACGAACCTGAAATATGCTTCACTCGTCAAGGCGAGGAGAGGGATTTCGTAGAGGATTGTCTCGACCCACAGGCCAGTGACGCTGATGTGGAGGTCACCGAACGTGCCATCGACGGGCGTGAACTCCAGATGCACTTGCTCGGCGGGTCGGAGGCGAAACCTCTGCAGATACTCCAAGTAGTCGGAGCCCAGGAAGGGACAATGTTTTCTCAGATATTCCAACTCTTGCTGTTCGAGCGTGATGTTCCCCAACTTGGTAATCTGTTCCTTCAGCCAGGCGACTGCCTCTTGGTCCAACCGCATCTGCGAGGTGCGGTTGGTGAACTTGTATTCCACGTCGACCGAAGGGAAGTACTTGAGGATCGCACATTGCATCGTCAGCTTGTACAGGTCGGTGTCGAGGAAAGAGAAGACGCCCTCGGGCTGCTTTGGTTCCATCTTGACAAAAGCACGAGACCGACCCTTACAGAGGCCACATGGGGGAGGGAGGGGGAAGGGGAGGGGGGAGGTTTGGCAGAGGTCTGCCTGCTTGGGGACTTTCTAATATGACGCTGGCCCCAAACCGAAGATGTGCGTAGCACAGGGTGTCAGAAACCGACGATGGTACGGTGACAACAATAATGTAAGCCTGATTGATACCAGGACTGCGTGGAGTTTGTGTCCCCCCCATGAGTGCCCAGGGACAGGACACGGACTGTGACATGGTAATCGGTTAATGTCCCAGATAATGAGCCCGCCGTTGTTTAGCCGATCGCCGCATTTTCGCTGTTCCCCGCCATATGCCCGCATTTCCCCCCTGAAATCGTTCTTCCAAGAACCCACGGAACCACGTAACCACCGGGTACGCAGCCGTAGCACTTAGACCCTTTGACAGTATTATTCCGAATTCGACAGAATCACAACGACGGCTCTTTTCGAGGTCTTTTTGGGACTGTATGATACATCTAAGAGTATGGACGCATGCTGAACCCAATCTCCAGTGCGAAGCCTGCACGATGTATATTCTGCTGCTGTGAACTTCTCTGCGAACCCTGGTTGTCAGGAGCACAGCCAACCTGTACTGCTGGCTTTGGGTATCACCGTTTCTATAACTACTATTCAATAAATACTATAAGAGGAGGGAGCTAGGGTAGCCTTTACGTAATACCTCCTGTTACCTCCGACCCCATCAATAGGTGAGAAACTTGCGTTCTGACCGGTAAAACAACATGTGAGGCTCTCGAGGATCAGGACAGTAAGCGATGAGCTGGGTAGGATAATCAATCTAGCCTGTTTTATCTCCCTAGAGGTCGTGTTGGGTGGTTCAGGAGCAGGGCTGTTGAGCTTAGGTGTACGCAAACCGAGGCAAAGCAAAACAAGTCAGACTTGTAGGCACTGCATGATTAGGACGTAATAATTCTTTACCGCCCTCACAAGCTCTCTACCCTCATGAGCGCGCGCCCCCTCCAACACAAGAAACCTACTGAATCCCCAGATATGCGCACAATATCTCCAGTCGACCCAAAGATCTCATCCGCAATAACCGTACTCTAGACGCTGAAGGTCCTCTTGTGACGGTTATAGAGTGGTCCCGAACGGTATCCCTGCCTGCTCCTGCCATTACGAGGGTGAGGCATGTGCCGGTCCTCTTCTTTCTCGTATCATAGGTCCATCTAATCATGCTGGTATTCCAAAGAGTTGGGCGTTGTAATTGCATGCCTGACACGCTGCAGGGTCGCCTGCTTCAAGTATCCTCTGGGGGAGATATAACAACCGTCGAGTCTCCCCTCCTGTTCCTTCCACTCTCTTCAAACCGCTCTCCAAGCTCTTGTTCCTGACATACCTGGTTCTTTGAGGCCCATTTCTCTCTCTGTGTTCCATCTTCAGCCGTTCTCGCTTCTGTATTCCGATCCGCCCTCATGTCTTCAGCATCCAACGCAGGTCCTGCAGATGGCAGTATCACCCACAAGAGCATCGCAGTCTCCTCCATGGGAGTTGGTGATCCTGACGCGGCTGGTGTGAGCTGTGCAGGTCAGTTCAAAGTACCCTTGTAACCCTAGGGATCAAAATCTGAAGCGCTTTAGATTCCTCTGCCACGGGCGTGTCCAGTCCACTTCTTCACTTTATCAAAGCGCCGCCTCAGTCCGATCCATGGCATCCCAACCGGGCTGACCGGAAGCACCTCAATCGCCTTCTTTCACAGCTTGATGTCATCCTGACAGCAATTGAGGCATTGGGAACGGGGCATTGATCTTTCCGATGTCGGTCATGCGACTGGCGTAGAGGATGTGCTCCAAGGGCAAGCCGGGAGCAACAACTTCTTCCATTTTCTTCCTGTCTTTGTTCTGAGGTTGCAGCATAATTACCCCGCGCGGGGTCTCGCGTGCCACTCTTGACCATGATTATGGCTCGTCTTTCCAAAATCGTGGTGTTGATGATTGATCTGGTGGACGGAGCAGTCCCGGCACACTCTTTGAGTCACACTGACACACTGACAACCACATCAGCTTCTGGTGGTCCTCGCGTCATTGCCATTGCGACGCATTGCAATTGTGAGATACGCATAATAATGTCAGCACAATAATTCAGAAAGCAAGGATTAAACTTTGAGGTGGTGTTGAATGTTCTTTAGGTCTGGCGTAGGAGTCACAGCTGTGTTTGATGGTTCGGAAATGCGCCAATCTTCCAAAGTTCCCGCAAACACGTCAAACTTGCGGCCGAGCCGCCTTTTTGGCAGTTTGTCATTGGATATTACCTGAACGGTGACCGACTGACTAAATGAGTCTAGTCATTTGAAACTTTATTTCCTTATTACAACGAGCATTTTGTATGAAAATATACCACGTCTGATATAATGTCTGACCGAAGATTGCCTAAACAGGCAATTCCCGCGGAGTCGCCTGGGCCTCTTCACGGCAAAACTGAACGAACAGCTACGCTTCTAATTGGTTGTCCTCATCAGCGCTTATCGATTAGCTAGCGAAAAGACAGATTACGTGACTTTCCTGGATCTTATGTAGTTATTCCGATCCTAATTCCATCGCAATATAACCATTCCACTTTCCATTTCCGCCTCGTCGCCGCCGCCACTCTTTAACTAACTCAACTTCTATCACCAGCAACATTAAATTGATTATCAACAGCCTCATGTCATCGTTCTGTGACATAGAATCCATCTGTAAACAACCCTAATCAAAAACGCGACGTAGTTAACCGCTTCGCTGGCGTCTTGAAGAGTGCCCGAAGGGTTTACGCCTCACAGCCTATTTTTTACTCCCAACCATACTGGGAACTCGTCACTCGTCCCTTGTCCCTACAACCTTATCCTCACCTACTCCCCAGCGTTACCACCACTTTCGACCCCGATACCCCGGCTCGCAACTTCTCAAGCGCCCCTTGAATGTGCTCAACACCGTGGCCGACCACATCCGACGGCGGGGCCGGTTTGATTAGACCCTGCTCAAGTGCCCGCGGTAAGAAATCGGCGTATATTGCTTTTCCAAGCGCCTTATCTTGCTGTAGAATAGACACGGCAAAGACTTTGAGAGATTAGCATGGAACAAACCCAATGGCCACCAAATTTATACGAGGGACTCACTGCCGTTCACCTGTACGGTTGCAGGGAGCTCCTCGATGGGAGGTAGTGCCACTGCCATCCTCCCTCCTCCGAGCTGGGCAAGGACCTGCGTGACGTTCAACTGTGTATCTCTCGTCGCAATAGCTAGAAAACCCAAGATGTCAAATTCAGTGTTTCTTGCCGATTCGACATGACTTTCAAGGTTTGTCGATTGTAGTGTTCAGTCCTTACCATCAAATGCTCCTCGATGGGTATACTTCTGCAATGCCGCCGTCAAGTCACCCACGATACCTAGACTAGAGCGGTCAAACACGTCGCTCGCCCCCAGGCTCTTGCACAGGTCAAAGTTCTGCGGGGACGCCGTTGCTATAACGTGATACTTTGCTGCCACGGCCAGCTGGATCGCGGCAGCCCCGATGCTCGAACTGCCTCCCCAGACGAGGATCGCCTCCTGCTCAGGGTGGCCTTTCTCCGCCGCGTCCACGGGAGACATTAGACCTAATCTGTCCTCGTGAAACAGGCCGATGCCGGCAGTCGAGATGGCCAGCGGCAGAACACAGGCCTCTTCGTATTTCATCCCGTCGGGAATCACGCAACATCCCACCGTCGGGACGACCGCGTACTCCTGGAACCCGCCATGCCTGGCCTCATTGGTAGCCAGCCCGACCGCGTGGGCGAGCACTCTCTGGCCTTTTCGAAACTGCGTGACACCTTCGCCGACCTCGACAATGTCGCCGGAGACGTCCTGGCCGAGGATCCGGGGCAACGACCCCGCGGGGAAAGCGCCGTCCTGTATCTTCCAGTCTATGGGGTTCATGGCGACAGCGCGATTCCGGACGAGAACTTCGTTGGCACCAGGCTTGCTGACGTCCGCGGGCCCGACCTCGAGCGGCGATTTTGCTTGACGGAACCATGCAGCGTGGTTTGCGGTTGCCATTGCGGGACCCGTTGTGTGTGTTTTTTTATCTATTTCGGAATTTCAACCAACTTAGCGGAACTTCGATCATTTGTGGAAGAAGTCACTCTAGATAGTCTGGAATAAAAGATATTGATGAATTTGTAATAAACAAAATGCGAGACTAGACCGGGTTAACCTATGATATGTAACATGCAAACGTTCTCCACAAACAAGGCCCGTTTGAATGTGTCGCCCTGACATCATCCATCATCCATTGCTGATCATTTGTTGCCCAGCGTCGGAGACGAAGTCATTAACAACATGGAGAGTGGAATACTCAACCATAATGGCGGCACTTACGAGTCCTGTTGAGCATATTCACAAAAGAGCAAAGTATTTGTAATCGACTAATCGGTAGTTGGGACAGCATCATGGTTCACGAGCAGACGAGCTCCCGAGAGGTATCGAAGGGCTTGATGTCGTACTGCTGGTACTGGAATTAAGACCACATTTTCTCCGAATGTTACAAGGGGTTGCCATTGTTTGTAACCGAACTGAAAGCCTCAAAATCCTGGTGACAACACTTCACCTGAATATTGTAGGTGGCAGGAACCTAATCCAAAAATCTGCCAGGTTCAAAAGCTTTCAACACCAAATCGGCTGCAACTTGCCTATCCAAATTACTTTTGCCGTTGAATTGGAGGCGCTGAGGAAGGCCTGCCTACACGACCGGGCTTGCATCAGTAGGAGGGTTGCTTTGGTCTCGTTACATTACGTCCCTCTGCCATGCTAGCCCGTCCTCCACAATCTTCTTGTCCTGTTAAATGGTCGAACATTCGTCGCGAAAGGCATGAAAAGTAACGAATGCACAATGTACTTGGTACTATTATGTTGGCAATACTGTCAAGAAAAGAACAGGATTGAGGGAGTGAGGGTCGAGGATTAGTTTGACACAAGTGTATTATATACCGACATGGATTGAGTTCGTCCTCAAAACACTTGTTATGCCCCTCTTTTCCCGACTTGCAGTCATCGGAACTGATAGCGCGTTGACGGAATGAGGCAGTCGTATACGAGTATTGCACAGCCACCACAGGCACAGATGTGCAGGGATTCTGATAGGAAACTGAGTCAACCTTCAAATTGCATCTTGTTGATCCACCATGTGATCAGCACGGCACTTGTGCTGTTCTTGGATAGCGAGCGGCGTCGGAGGATAGACTGCAAGTAGTGTTGCATCTGCCGCAGTCGGCGGTCAGTGGTCAGTGGCCAGAGAACGGACAGCGTAGAGGGGCATTCTCATCGACAAAGTGTGCGGCCGTTGTACGAGCAGGAAACATAAAGGTCAAAGGGACCTTATTATGAGACGGATGCAGATGCAGCAGGTGGGAGGAGCTGCTTGAAGGAGAGAAGATTGTTGGACGATCAAGACAAGGGGTGAGCGTCATGCAACTCCACCAATTGGCCCGGTTGAATCTAGGCGTTGCCCCTTTTACCGGATTGGTTCAACGACGCGTTTCATCTTTCCTGCCACTATCCCTTCTCTCTTCTCTCATACTCTGTTGGTGCCCGTCTTCGTACAGCTAGAGAGGCTCTGATAGACCATCTCTCGCGTCCTCTCACTCAACCTCTCCTTCTCCTCCTCTTCGAGCCACACCGTTTGTGTCGCCCGTTGCCGCTCTTTTGCTCTTCAGTCTCTCCTTTGCAAACTCGTCGTCGCGCTGTGCTGCGACGCGTCCTCACATTCATTTACGATTTAAATTGTGTTTTGCATACAAGTACGTGAAGTCCGAGCTTCACGGACCCTCCTGCGACACTCACCTGTCACGAGCAAGACCCGGAGTCAACCACCCAAATCCCTTGAGCAAGACCTGTCTCTGCTCTGTTTTGGCCTTTGTTCTCCAAAGGGTTCATACAGACAATAGAGCTGTCTGAGCCATGCACTCCTTCAGGACGACATCCATCGCCCTCCTCTCCCTCTTCACCACCACCCTCGCCCAGACCTTCACATCATGCAATCCCTTGGAGCGGACCGATTGCCCGCCCAACACTGCGCTGGGTGTCGGCAATTACTCGATTGATTTCACTCAGAATACAATGTCAGACAAAGTTTGGAATGTCACGGCTGGCGGAATCGATTATGGAGATGACGGTGCCGAGTTCACAATCAAACAGCGTGGCCAGTCGCCCACGGTCCAGACAAACTTCTTTCTGTTCTTTGGTCAAGTTGAGGTTATCATGAAAGTCGCCAAAGGTCAAGGCATAGTGTCTTCAGTTGTTTTGCAATCGATGGACCTCGACGAGGTGGACTGGGAATTTATCGGAGGCAACAACTCATTTGTCGAAACTAACTTTTTCAGCAAAGGAAATCAGACTGACTACGGCAATGCCATCTGGTATCCCATCAATGACCCCCAAAATGAATGGCACAATTACACATTGGATTGGTCGAAGGAGAAGCTTGACTGGATTGTAGACGGAAACATCATTCGCACTTTGACATATGAAGAAGCTAATGGCGGCCTCAAATTTCCCCAAACTCCCTGCGATGTTAGACTCGGCATTTGGGCAGGTGGTGATCCCAAAATGCCCAAGGGTACTATTGAATGGGCAGGTGGCGAAACCGATTACGACGATGCTCCCTTCACCATGACTGTGAAGTCTGTCAGAGTGTCAGACGCCAGCAGAGGTACTCAGTATGTGTATGGCGACACCTCGGGCAGCTATCAGAGTATTAAGATCCTCAAGTACACATTGCCCCTCTCCTTCCACCTAGAAACAAACATGGCTAATCTTCCTCCCAGTGACACTAAACCCATCCAACTCGACGGCGAAAACAGCCAATCAAGCACTCAATCCATAAAACAGAAGTGGAATGGCCTCTCCCAGCAGACCAAGTACATCATCATTGGCGTTGTCTGCGGCGTCGTCATCCTCTGCATCCTCATCTTTGCATTCTGCTGCATCCGCCAGCGCCGCGCCGGTAAGCACGAGAAACTGGTCGAGGACGCCAAATACGAAAAGATCACCTCTGAGGTCATGGCGTACCGGGCAGACATGTCGAGGATGCGAGCCGAGCAAAAGATGATGGGCACCAGCGTTCACGTCAGCCCCGTGACTCCCATGATGGGCAATGCAGGAGTTTCTGTGCAGAATTTCGGCAATGCGTCGCCCATGGTGGGTGGCGGGCGAAGCCCGAACCCGGGTTACGGATACGCGAACAGCGGATATGCTAGGGGCTATCAGAAATATTGAGCATTGATGAAAGGTGATATCGTTGGAAAGGACAGGACCAGGGCTGGGATATCTGGAACTGAGGGAGTGGAGAGTACCTGCAGTTCATTGTAAGATAAATGAGATCAGCAAGATGAGTGGATAGCCGGAGTTTTAACAGCAGCATTTTCATTTTGAGCTTTTGGCCGACGCCGGCTCCAATGTTGATTGTTTGTACAGCTCATGACTATTTCGTCTTGCTCATCATGTCTCTCGTTCCACGGCGTTCACGTTTCAACCAGGCTTTCAAAGGCCCATGTTGGTCATATTGCGCTCTAGCTGCGCACTCTCCTTGCCCGACTCCTTTGAGTCCTTGGTGTCTTTCTTCCCCAAGCGCATCATCTGGCTCAGCTTGGTCTTGACGCCTTTCCCGGCCGCATTGCCACTCCCGGTCGGTTCGTCAGGAACCACCTTCCCGCCCTTCAACGTCACCAGCTTCACTTCTCCTGGCTTGACAACCCTGGCGATCATGGGTTGTGGGCGTGGTTTGGGCTTGGGCCCACTGACTTTGACGTGCGACCGCATGTCGTCGGGCAGGTAGAAGCCAGTGTCGGTGCATTGTCCCAGGAAGTTGATCTCGACAAGTTTCTTGGGGTCGAACCAGCGGAAGAATGGGCCAGCGTCGACTGCGAAGTTCATCAGGGTGAGATGGCTGATGGGCAGGTAGCGCATGTTTTCGAGAGGGAGGGTTTCGACCACGTCGATCTGAGCTTGTTTCATGGCTTGTTGGTCGAGGTACTCGCCATCACCGAATTCTTGGTGTAGGATGCCATTTCCGTGAAAGCCTAGATATTCGGCATCGACTTGTCGTTCAGGGGAGCCGTCATAGGACCATGTCTCGTCGATCTTGCGGTATTTGTGCTTTGTGTCTTCATTCATTTCCGGCTCGAGTGCCATTTCAAGGTGGAGCTTGGTGAGGTTCTTGTTCAGCCAACAAGTTGCCCAGATGATCGGTTGATATGATCGCATCATGCCGTTCAACTGGAGGTAGTGGAGGTTGTGAAACATCTGTAGAGGCTTGAGGTCCTTGAAAGGAAAGACGCCTTTTTGGTCGCCATCGCTGTTCTCCTCTTCATCATCATCGTCGATCTCGTCGAACTTGATCGGCCAGAACAGGTCGAGATTGAGGATTGGGCGATCTTTATCCAGATGGCGCCAGAGCTGGGGACGGAAATGGACGATGGGTTTGTCAAAGCCGCCCACGTCGACACTAGCCCTTGGTGAGTCCATGGTAGATGTGGATGGTAGAGAGAAGGGTTGACATACAGAAGTTTGGCAAGAGTAGAATCAGACTCAGTTTTGAAGGGAAATTTTGAAAAGTGTTGACCATGCCGCACCCCAGAAGAGGCTGTGGTAACAGCGCGTTTCCCTCCTGGAGACTCTGCCAGTTTGTCCGACAGTGAATGTGGGCTTCTGGTCGCCGCTGTGCCAAACGGGGGTTTTCTTGGGGTCATTTCCTTTGTCAGACTCTCCTTCGTCGTGTTTGTCATTGGCCCAGACTGTGGAAGCTCTTTCATAACGTCTACTTGTCCTGGACCTCTGGACAGTGTATCAATAGCACTGGTTGCGTAGGGAGAGGGCAGGGGTCGTGAGAAGTTAGGGGTGCGTGCAGAGGAAGGTGCCATGATGGGCGAAGCAGCAAACAACGATGATTTCAAAGAGAATTTCCACGGCTTTGATGCACGAAAATCGAGCGAGACAGACAGACATCGTGAGCCACGCGACAGAATTTGAAGCCTTGAGCAATATTGAGAAGCGTTGAGCACCTCAGTGCGACCGCTGAGGAGCGTTGCTCTTTGAAGCGCGGACTGCATCTACCTTTGGCAAGTCACCTTTTTCCAACCATCGACGAAGCTGCCATCATGTCTCATTTCCTTTCAGAACAGTCAACATCCCCTTTTGTCGTACATCTGGGGTAGAGCTGGCGACCATACGCATCTGGAGAGGCTCTCCATGGCCGACTCAACCACAACATTATCAAGACGAGAGACTCTGGCAGGCAGGTCCCCTACTATTCAGTCCTGCGTGCAAGAGACGCATTCTTGTGGGAAGCAACTTTCAGAAGCAACTTTCGCACATCTTGTATAGAAGTGAAGTTGCTAGAGGAGGCAAAAGTCCGCAGGGTAAAAGGGGGAAGGTTCACATGGTCTTATCTAATCTCTTGGCTCTCTTCATGACGCGCTCGCTTCCTTCCACAGCATCCCATTGATATCTCCCTTCGCACACACCTTCTTTCTAGGAAATGGAGCTCATGTTGGTACGAGGCAGCTTATAATGCTTCCAAGAGGAACGGCCCCGGTCCGCAGCAGCAGCCATGGCTCCCATCCGTCGCTACCTGCGGATTAGCAAACACTCCGTCCTTGAGTGCCGCATCTTTCTCGAGAACCCTGCCGATGAACCAAGATGGCTCTTGAACGAAAGAAACCCCGCACTTCCGCGGGTGTTCGAGGCTGTCAAACCCTACGTCCTGCCGAAACTACGGGAAGAGAATGAGCGGGCGCGTAGTAAGGGCAAAAAGAAGAAGAGTGTCAAAGACGTGGTTCAACAAGGTGAAGGCGCTGCCCTTTGATTGCGAGACATTTCTCCTGACAAGCGTACTCAGATGACTTCGAAGTATCGATCTTCCTCACTGAAATCAGGACCCGTCACTGCCTTCTTGTCAAGAATAAGACATTCAAGCAACAAGGCCTAATGAAGAGCAACAATGGCAACAAGCTCACCGGAACGGACCGTGACACTGTCATGGTTCAGGATGAAAGCGACGAAGAGAATATCAATCTAGATGATATACCTGCTGCGGAAGATCAAGATAGGGAAGGGAGTTACGGCGACCCAAGTCATGCGTCTGCAGGTCGCGATCTCGACACGGGAGTGGATGACAAGAAGAAGCTGGGTTTCAACACAACGTACGAGGGATTCAGTATCTGGGGTTGGGTGCTATGTCTCTTTGTTGAGCGTAAAGGCGGTCCTAGCAAAAATGGGTCTGGGATCCAGGGCGGTTCGCAGGCGCTCATGCAAGACTGGATCCAATCCACGCAGGAACAAAAGGACGATGATACGTGATGTCCGCTCCTAGAGAAATACGGAGCTTGGTTACCGTTCTCAGGATGGAATTCTGCAGTGGCCCTGAGGAAAACCCACGGCACATGCGTTGGAGGATGTTTTGTAGGATACCACCGAGAAAGATAGCATGCCTCAAAAATTGGTTTCAGGAGATAGGATTATGGTGCCGGCTCTCAAAACCATGTTTTCATATTTGGGCCAACTCCTGTGTCAAACGGTGTTTCCGCCAAAGATACCTAGTATCAACGGCAGCAGATGGAAGCAGCGTTGGCTGTGAAAATCGATGTTTAATGCAGACGACACGGAGCCGCATTGTTTTAGCCTGCCAGCCCCCTCGCTTCGTGCAGCGTGACGAACAATTCAGTGAATAATAGTTGTCCGCAACAAGACAATCTGGCTACATCATGCGGTCAAGCCATTAAGCCATGCCGGAGATTGAATGACAGAGTTCAGCTCGGCTACCAAGTGTTCTGGACAGGCAGGCGACAATAGGGCACGTTTCGCTTGTTCCAGAACCTCCAGCCCAGTGTGATACGAGTCTGGAGCAGCTTTGGGACGATTTTGTGGTTCAAGGTTCCACTAGACTGCAGCTCGTGGCGCTCGCTCGCGCAATTTCCACGTGGTTGTGGCTGCCCCTTTTTCTCTCCTGAGAACAATCATCTGAACCCTGCATGATGCATGGGCTGGCGGCGTTTCGTTGCCTTTTTGTATCCATGCCCGCGGCCAGACCCGTTCCTTCTCGTTCCAGGTCGTTTGTACATATACGAGGTGGTGGCGCATATTATTGAGACACGAGGGAAGAGTTGGACACGAGGCAGGATCAAATGCAGGATTGTTGCGGATCCAATGGCTCCCCGTTATCAGCACAACAGCCCGTCAGCCTTACTGCGCAAGACGCACGGAGAAAACTAAGGAGATGCATGCGACATGTCACATTGTAACCTCAGGTCAGGAGGCACTAACTTGCTCACCTCCGAGGTGCAGAACCTCCTCCGGGCTGAGTGGCTGGTATACTACTTTTAGATACAAACGATGAGGCACGTGTCACCCTGTCCAACACCCATCCAGGGCCATGCCCGCTGATTATTAAGTACAGCTTATCGTACACAGAATGAACTGGTGGCGCAATGGATATGGTTGACAATGCTCAAGTGGAGTGTCAGATTCTTTGCTTTTGCGGGATGGCCCGGCAGCTCTTTTGATCCTGCTGCGGTCAGATGTTTGGGAGGTTGCAACAATCCAGCAGTATGGCGGCGAGTGGATGTCTTTCGCAGTGGTAACCGACGGTGAGAATGGGCAGGCCAGCGCAGGGAAATTGCCGCAGGGCTTGGGGCCAACCTCGTCTGATCTGAAATGGTGCGAGATGCTAGCGACGAAACGGAAGCTGCATGGAATCAAATGCGAGATTCGAGAAGCGAGCAAGCCCAAGGTCCCCAGCTACCAGCTAGCCACAAAATCTCTCTCAAGCTACTCGGGTAACCAGTCCAAGTAGTACGAGTTCAGTAATTCGTAGCTGGAGGGGCTTGGGCACATCGCTACCACCAATGTGGATAGCTTCCCCACGCTTCCGACTGCGTGCATGCGCCAGCAATACGCCCACGGATATTTCCAGAGGGCGTCCTCCAAGTCTGCGCAAAGTCTCGAAACAGTAAGTGGTGCCAGCTGAGGTTGGAGGAAAACATTTCCAATCCCATTTGACGGAAAGGCAGGCCAACAAGAATCGGCGCCAGGTCATGTGCCACACTGCGACCCAAGAATTGTCAACTGCGCCAGGAGCTGTGTTGGCCGGCCAGGGAACTGCGGTTACGGTGACCGATCCGTTACCGCCATGCTTTCGATCCTATCCCTACCTTCTCTACAAGACTCTGGTGACTTCAATGCCCATCATGACGGAATCGATTGTGGCACAAAGAACCAGT